TTTAAACGAAGCGAAAATCTAATCAGCAGTCGGATCTCGTAGCTCAGTTGTTATAGTACCAGGCTGGAAACCCATTGGCCGCTGGTTCGAATTCGATCGCGGTCATAATTTTCATTTCACCTTCAATCACCACCCAGTATAAATAAAATAGTGTACATATTTTGAGGTTATGGGAATTTTATTTTGAAGGTAAGATTCATTACTGACTACCATCATTTGGAGGACCAGTGATAACCTGGTTGCACTGGAAGCTGTTTGGTCTCACAGTAGGACCCCTCATCAGTGCAGACCCCATCAGGGTTCGAGATAAGTAACTTTAGGTTTCCGAAAAACACGTTAACCACCAGCCACTAGGTCGGATGAAGTTCAATGGTTCACAGTCTCCTGCTTCTGTTCATTCGTGATATAGCGTGACTATCCACCAAGATGTTTAATTGACATCCATTTCACTCCTGTCTGGCTGATGCAACAGATCATAGCTTGGAACTGAAAGGTCATGAGTTCTATCCTAGCGAGGCGAAATGGTGAGTGCGTGCTTCTGAGGAGTCCCATACTAGGACGAAACAGCTGTCCAGCACTCCTAGGTTCTTAATCATCCTATAACTGATATCGATCCGTGATGAATGGTGCCTCAAAATAAAAATCCCCATTAGCCTCAAAACACACTACTGTGCAGTACGCATTAGTGACATGATTCCAGATGGATATCTCGAAGCTCTCATGAGAAACTTTTTGGTCAGCCAGTGAGAAGGAAAGCCAATGCCAACCAAAGACCTTGGGTAATAGTCGCGTTGTATCGCTAACTGATAGAAGTTGGAAACTATGAGCCAGTGAACTCTATCCGACTCAGTAGTTGAATGCTTAACGCGCATGCCTGAAGGTGTAAGTTTGAGCCCTGATAGGACAGGGTCGTGGGTTCATATTGACCGGGGGAGGGGTCCTATTGTAAGATGAAACAGCTTTCCAGTGTCCCCAACTTTTCAATGGTTCCTCAATTGATTGATATCAGTCCGTGATGAATACTACCTTGAAGACGTATAACTTGAGTATCACTAACTTAATAAAATGTTACTCATGTTAAGGAGCAAAACAGGTTAATAATCTAAGGGGTGACTTGGTATCCAGTTCTATTTATTCATTTATATCAGCAATATAATTTGAGGAAGAGGAAAAATAAAATAACACTAATAATAAATGAGAAAAAAATTTTAAAGTGAACAATTTAAATCAGTATTTAAAAAAATTACACTTTAATTTAGTAAAAGAAAAGAAGAGATTTTTTACACTTCAAGGTGGTTTCATTGACCAATTCTATCTTTTTTTTTCTAATTGACTACAAGAAAGTTATCAAAATGAAACAGTTTCATAGACAATAGGTTTATAAATGCTGTCTCTAAGAGATTATATGTAGAAAGAAACTATCAATCTTAATTGAATGAACAGTAAATTCATTCATACAGAAAAGTATATATTGAATTTTGAGGAGGTTGAAGGGATTTAGAAATATTTCAAGTTCGCATTCATCGTAGACTGACATCAGTTGGAGGAACAATGGAAACCTGGAAGCACTGACAACTGTTTCGTCTTGGTATGGGACTCCTCAGCAGTGCCCACTCATGACCCCGCCAAGGATCGAACCTGCAACTCTTAGGTTCCATGGTTAGTATATTACCATTGAGCCATTACTTTGGGATCGAATGATCTATATTTCCAACTTCTGTCAGCTCACGACATAGCGCAACCACCACCCAATGTCATCGTTGAGTAACTGTCCTCATGACCAGGTTTCCATTCTTCCTGCAACTGATGTCAGTCTACGACGAATACCAACTTGAAAGCATAAATTGTTTTTTTGTTGGCTGACACAATATCAATGTACGTTAGTATGTCAACTTTAAGAGTAGATAGTTCTGCAGATCTTGAAAAGATGAATAACGTCCGAAACTGAATGGCCACTGAAATTTCAGTCAGAGTTTTGATCCAACTACTTAGACGTGTTAAGTGAAAACGTAATATATTCTTCTCTTAATTTTCACTAGTCAGGTTTAGTGGTTGTACTTACTATGAATGATGTATAGTGAAATCCAGCCAGAGAATTCCATCCTATTTGAAAGCCACTCATCAGCTGATGTATCTGCTTCCCAGTGAGTGATGTTGTCCCCACTGGGACTTGAACCGGTGGGACGATTGCTTTAAACCCCAGAGTGTTATCCACTAGGCCACCAAGTGGCGAAAGTCACTTATTGTGCGATGGGCACAGTTTTAATATTGTTGCTTGTATTATCCCGTAGTTGACTGGACCGAATTGATCGGTCTCTATTGACATATGGGCTCCTGCACGGATACCTTGGTTTTGAACTTGAGGGGGTTGGTGGGGATTTAGAGAATTTTTTTCGTAACTGGCAGAAGTTGGAAATATGAGTCATTGGATCCCGACCCAATGGCTCGATGGTAACGCGCTGGCCATGGGACCCTAAGGTCGCGATTTCGAGGTCTGGGTGTGCACCGCTGGGGAGTCCCCTACTAGGACGACACATCTGTATAGTGCTCCCAGGTCTCCAATGTTCTTGCAACCGATGTCAGTCCACGATGAATACTACCTTGGTTTTGCCAGTGTTCCAGTTCTTCATTAACAATACATACTTTCAGGTACATCCAGCTTGCGAGTAAGTCCCAAGTAAGACAAAACGCCCGTCCTGCATTTCACCGCTAGTGATTATCCATGAATAATATAAAAACCGAAACACAGACAACGTTTAGTCATCCATGCACTAGCCTACTTGCCAATGAAGATAGATCAAATCGAGTACCAAAACAAATTGGTTGGAAAATTACGGGACTACTCTATTAATTTGGTGGATGGATTCAACATAGATGATTTGAAGAGGGGTTGTTGATTAGGCGCAAAAGAATCCTGTCATAAATCGCATTCCAAAAGTTTAACCTACAGTTGAAATGGTTATCATCGACCATTTGTAAATTATCTTTTTTTCTGCACGATATTATGCTAACTATTTATGCTACATTGTGCGCTTCTTTTACCTGATTCCTTACCCATTTTTCGTTGTCTCTTTCCACATCGCTACACATACTACTTATATAGATCTTTATAAGTAGCCCCTACCACAACATCACAAATGTGAGATATTTACTCTCACTTACTATTCCAAAGATATTGGCAAGCTGAAATCGATTTTTGTATGAACTTTTTGTAATTTTATATTTGCTTGTATCCACCTAAACTAGACGTCAAAAATCAACAATAATCTTAAGGGCATAAAAATGGGGTGATTTGAGTTCACAAATCAATAGAAGTCTATGCTTATTTGAGTGTCTTTAAGCACATTTATTGATTCTTCCCTCCCCCCCCCATCCCTATAAACATAAGCATTTCAATGATTCCACGTCATCTGCATAAACTACAGGTGTTCCTCATACACTGAAGTGCATATCATCTTATGGAAAGTCAAAGTGATTTCTGAAAATTGTCCATTTATCTACAGTGGAAACAACGATGACGATTGATAGTGGCTGGCGGTGAAATACAGGACATGGATTTCTGTCCACTCATGCTCACATTTCAATGAATACATTCGGTCCCAGTGATACTTGAGTCTAGCACAATTCTGTTCAAACGACACAGCGTTATACAGAGAGACAAACACAAATATACAGGCGAAAATCTACATAGAACCTCGCACACAAGTGCGTCGCCTCAACTTACGACACTTCACAGTAGCATACAAAGAACCAGTGGGCAGAGGAAGAGTGTATTCACAGTAGACAAAGTTGTATGAGAGGATATAGAGCTCAAGTTACAGAAAACGTCGAAGGGTGAATGCATCTGTGCCATTATGACCGACTTTCAGCCACGTTACCACGATTCCTCAGACAATGATTGCTATCCACCCCGAGCTTTCTTCTGACCCATTTCAACTTCCCCTAGCATGGTATGTCTAGGTAGGTGGTAGCCTGTCATAGGAAGTATATGTTCAAGACACCACAGTCACTCAAGGTCACAGACTCATCGACTGACTTGCCTTCGTTGTCTAGTGCCTTTTGGTTAACGTTAACATTGCTAGTACAGTGAATCCGTTGTGTGGGATTGATGCGTTCAAGACACCCATGATCAAAGAATGCTTCATATTTACCACTTTTAACCACTATATCTCAAAACCGCACAACAGAACAGAATGAACTGCAGCACAGTATACTTGTCCCTTGACAGATAGTCAGATATACTACCAGTCAGCTCCAAATATGACGCCAGCTGGCAAATGACAAACTACCTTAGGATACTAAACCATAACACCCACCCATTTTGCGACAGGTGTGGTTTGCTACTGATTGGTGCTCATGTTTTCCGTTGACCAATATATTGGAAAGAATTGACCGGCTACCATTGGTGTATGAATTCCTTGAATGGATTCCTCAATATTATCTCAAGTTTCATTTTGATGCTATTCGCTTAGTGACGGCTAACAGCGAATCTAGAAAAGCACATTTCATCCCATTTAAGACTAGTCAGATAGGTGTACATGCATCCTAGTAAGTGATGTTTCCACTGGGACTCGAACCGAGCACCAGTCGCTTCAGAAGACAGTGTTACCCGGCAGGCTAATGAAACCTGATAGCTGGAGGTATTTTTCGTAGGAGAAAAACAAGGGAGTAATCTATTGCTACTGAACATTTAAGCCTTTCACAGAAGTCAGTTATGGTCATAATGTTATAGGCCAGTCTCTTGACAAGCGGTAAATTACTCATGAGGACCTTATTCCACATAGTGTGATTGTTATAGACCTTCAGACAACTGTTATAGTTTGTTCCACTTGGATACTCATTTGTTCTCTTTACCTATTTTCACAGGAGTATGAAAATGACTTCACCTTTTGTATTCTTTTCTTATATGTAGAATCAGTGCATTGGTTCCATTGGTGTGAAGTACAAATATCCACATCATACCAAGAAGTAAATAGCATCATATTTCTCATGTACTTAAAATGGAAAAGAGAGTAAAAGAGTCTCCAGTAGGAGCAGCAGCAGTAGGAGAAGAGATCGTAGAAGGGGTATCGAAAGATTTCAGCCAAAGTGCACCACATCATGAGAGCCCACGTGATTTCGATTATGATTTACGATTTTCCAGGTGGTTAGCGCATAGATCAGCCAATCACTCAGGCAAGAATACAGATAGTTTAGATATATTCCAATCTGTTGACTCGTCACAGTTTTTAGAAAGTGTCGGTGATGTAAAACATTCAACAAGTGGTAGTTGGCTCACTGTGAATTCAAGCTTTGAACAAGATGCTGGTAAAACCTGTCAAGACAATGATGATGATAAGAAGAGGAAGAACATTACTACTCTAACTGAAAGCTCAGTTAAATCTATCAAAAATCAGTCAGAAATTGATGACTCCTCATATTCTTCAATTAAATATTACAGTTGTGATGCTCTAAAATCTAGTCAAGAAATGAAAACTGGGGAATTAGAAGCAGCTGGAGAAAATTTTCAATGTCTTTCAAGATCTGACAGTAGTGTGACAAGAAATCAAGTATCAGGGGAAAACAAGAAGACCATCAACAGCATAATTTACGATTAGGTAGTATTTATGATACAATAGTTGAAAAAACTGACCATTTAGATGGTGGAACACGTAGATTTGAAATACGAAAAAACTCTAGGCCACATATTTTATCTAATAATCACTTCAGACGAACAAATTTTTTGAAGAATAAGTATACCTTTTCAAACCACCGACATAACAGTAACAATGATATGATGGAATTGATCAGTAAACCGTCATGTACACTGAAGCGTACCGCTACAGAGCACATGTCAAACAGATGTCGAGATGGAATTTAATTGATTTATCACAAAAAATAAGATATCATCCATCCTCTGTAATATATCATCCAAATGATAGTATAATTATTCCAGACAATGCTATCATCATTAGGCGTAAATCAATAATTCGATGTTTACTGCCTAGACAACATAGTGACACTTCAAAAGTTGACTTAAATCAAAATCAACACTATCGAACAGATTATGAAGGAAAAGATCAACTTTTTGCTATACAAAACAATGACAGTCATGAATCTGGTTCAAGATTAGGTGAATACCGAATAAGTGAAAATTTAAAGTCAACTTTTGAAAAAGAAGATGAGAACAAAGCTGAGAATTTACTTGAACGTGAGGCGCATATTGGTGCATTAGCTTTAGCATGGGCATCAGGTACACATAAATCAAGAAAATCTGCCTATGAAAAGCATACGAATCATAGAAGAAACCTACATGAAACTACGCAACGTAAGTTACGAAGATATAACAATAATAAGTCAACTACTGTCGGTTCTAACTCAAAAACAAATCTATCTACATTGAGAGAACTTAGTGCTTCTATTTTTTCTTCACCTAAAAGGAGTCCATGTAAGTTGAATATTTCATGAAATCCCATATTTTACTTGTTCATTTGATGTGGAATTACATCCCACCGCAGTGCCCAAGTTTTTCACTTTTATTTTATGGAATATTTTATACACTTTAAGTAGTGTATTCTCATATACGAAATAAGTGGAGAAGTCCCAGATGAGAAACTGAGTAACGGAAACTCTACTCGGGATAGAGAACGCTCCCTTCGATACCAGTAAGCATACAGACTAGATGCAGGTCCTCCTATGAAACACCTATAGTTGCATAATACTAAGTACCACCAAGACTAGTGCTCAGTGTATACAGTTGGCGGTTCGAATATTGATGATAATCAGATTTTCACAACTGAAACTCGTAAATAAACCCCAACTAGGACAACATTGAAATTGACATCAAAATCTCATAAACAGAATTCCAGTGATCAGTCACGATGAAAAGGATCAACGTCAAATGAAAACTTAACATTAAAATCTTTATACTCTTCAAAATTTTGGTCAAGAATTATTGTGCCTAAACTTCGAATAATCTAATATCTTTGTAGGTGTATCTAATGCGTCAGGAGAATTCTGGCTTCTTTTCAAGCATGACCTATATGCATTCCACTTAAGTGAAAAATAGTCCTACACAGGACAGAATTATACTCAGACAATGTGAGATCATCCAGTGGCGTCGATGAATACTTGTACTCAAGGTTGACTTGATTCACCCTTAAGTCACGACTTCTTATTAGTACCAGCACAAAATAGATTTAATAAAAATAATTCAGAGCCTGTTCCGGATATATGAAAGATTATGTCACCTATAACATCAAGGTGGCGAGAGAGTTGAAATTATATAAACCACATCTGAAAATTGTGGAGTTGTCTTGATATTACTACAGACAATAAATCGTATCCGAAACATAATCCAGTAAGTAATACTGTTTTATCTAGGAAACGAATCAGAGTGGATGGTTTTCAGTACCCTAACCAACTGCTCACTAATCAACTGAACTAGTTTGTCAGGTATCATTCGTAAACTGAGTCAACTTTTGAAAACTGCTACTACTAAATAGAAATGCAAAATTACCTTTAACTTGGCAAGTGAACAGTTGTCTCTCATCCGCACTTAAAATCCGGTATCAAGAATTCCCCTGTTCACCACCGCATACTGGAGGGGTCTTGTTTCAATGAGCAGAAGGAACTCTTTATGAGAATGATAAAAACTGGAACTGTCGTTAGGTTAGAGATACGCCTTGCTGACGACCCTCAAAAAATATGATGGCTTGGATTCTTGCCGTGTACCACAGTACTAAGTATCTTTGCCTGGTGACCACGCTATCAAATGATCAATCAAACACAATCAGGACTTAGGATTAGACGACATGAAACTGTAACTGCTCTCCAATGGCCAATCAACGTACATTCATTTCGATCTGCAGTTTTCATAATGACTGAAGATCATTAGGTGTTGGTAAATGAAGACCGATATTAGGCTGTCAGAAACGTTTACTTCAAAGATATTTCGGCGAAATTTAGTGGCTCATACTCATTGGAAGAAACTTGACACTACTAATGTCTCTTCGAGATTATTTGTGGGCTGAAGAAGAGATTTCTGCGTTGTTGCATACGCCACTAAGTATTTCACCTGTGTACTGAATCATGTTATCTGCTTTCCTTGCATAATATAACTGTAGAATGGTAAGACCTTAATCCACTGGCTTTCTAATTCACCTATAACTGCTCATGTGACTTGTTGTCTTTCATTCATGTTCATCCGTGGATTAAAAATTCGACCTGTCTGTCTCACCTCAATACATTTAGAAGATTAAGAAAGGCTGGTGCTGAGTGTTATTGTTTATCTTGAATCTGAGAAAATGAACTCAACTTCTTAGAAGTGAGTGTGGAGGAGTATTAGTAACTGTCATGACAGATTTCCTTACTTGTTTCCCTCTAGCTCAATAAGCATGCATTGATTCCTGTTGTTGATTCCAGCTGTGGCTACAGCGGAAGTTATTGGTGCTACCTGGATGTTTGAAGTTCAAGTAGCATCATATAGTTTACATCTTTAATTGACTCGTTGAAGTTAGATGCCTTTAGTATAAATGCATCCTTCTGAGCAGTTTGAATATATTGAAAAAGGACATTGAGTTATATGTGTAAAACACACTGATTCATAAAGATGATATAACTTATTCTATATATAGAAAATGGAAAAATGTGCAGTAACTGATTGAATGTGATATTCCATAAAGGTTATACAACGTAAATAAAGAACTGATGCACTCTTAGATCACTTGACTATTTGAGAACCATGGATCGTACGAAATTGACTGAGCAGTTAATAAAAGCTATTGAACCAACCAATCCAATACTACTATGAAATGTGATTTAAGTAAGATATCTTTTGAAATAGATGATTTGCTGAATAATCTCTCTGGAGAATACTTCATCTCAGCCTTGAGGAGTCCTTCAGGATAATAACAATGACGGAAATTTATAAAGTATAACGGCAAAACACTGTACTATGCTAATCATACAAGGAGCAGTGGCCTAGTGCGTAAAGCATTGGTAATGTAGAGCGGTGGATACTTGGTTCGAGCCCGTAGGAACAAAAACGCTCATTAGGGTATAGGTACGTCCAGTTGATGAGTGAGTCCGGAATAGGAAGCGACGCTCGTCTTGGATTCTTCTGCCAGTTATCAAGATGAACATAACATAATGCATATTCGGAAGTGTTGGGGGATCCGCATAGGAGCCCATTTGCGGATTGTAGTCAAGCAATCCGACTATCTACAGCAGCGGGAAATTACAAGTAATAAACAAAAACGCATAACCGTTGTACAAGAGGTAGTTGTCGTGCCCGTGACTTGAAATGATTGGTCATAGGTTCACAGCTTACCGGGAACGTCATGACTCCATGAGAGGCAGGTACATTTACCAGCTAACAAGTGAGTGCCGAATAGGGCAAAACACGCTGACTAGTTTCCACTGCTAGCCACTATCCATCATTAGTATAAAAATTGCGGATGAAACTCGACTGGCTATTTATTTTTTTTCACTGGACTTGACTTCAGCTGTAATCTCCAGTCCGTGCACCTATAAGCTCTTAAAAGTTTCTTGAAACAATCGGAAGAAACTATCATAATGTAGACGAATGAACTTCAAATTACATAGAATATACTAAATTACTGTTAAATTGTTATCTGTAAAATCGATTAGTTACACAAATGATTTCTGATTTTACAACAACAACAACAGCAAGGAAGTGTTCTAGATGGTTGTACAAAAAAAAACGTACTGAAAAATAAAGTTCTATTTTTAGAACATTCTTGTTCAAAATATAGTTGACTTGGTTGCATGTACCTTTCACCTTGTTTTCTAATGACATTTACAAAATTTGAAACAACTAAAAACATAAATTTTATCTATTACAAGATTAAAAAGTTTAACTAGCAAACAAGAAAAATAAAATGGCTACCATTTTGAATAGACATGTTAACTGATAATGAGTGTACACATATAGTGGATTGTTCATATTGTTTCTTAACACGAAGTTGATCTTCTGGTGGGGATTTCTGCTTTAAGAGTATTTGGTATTCATCATATAGTGATATCAGTTGGAGAACTATTAAAAATCTTAGGGCACTAGAAGGCTATCTTATGCTAGTATAAGACTCCACACCCATGAAATTGATCTGTTTATTAGTTAGGAGAGACAGTTCACAGGTACGGACTCGAACTGTAGCGTCTGTGCACAACAAAAAGTCAATGGTACTAATGATATATAGTGGCTAGCAATGGAACCCAGGAGGTGAGTTTCATCCTGCTTAGGACTTGTTAATTGAATGTACCTCCTCCCAACAAGCGATGTTATCCCTGTTGGAATTCGAACCCTGGACAGATCACGTCAAACTCCAAAGTGCTATCCAGTAGGTCATTGAGTAACCGTAGCCACTCCATAGTCTTTGATGATGAAATAGTTCTTGCATCTCCCTCGTTAATTGGACGGAAATGATCAACCACTACTGGCTAACGAGCCTCTGCCCAGATGCCTTGATACTACGGGTATTTTCAAATTTGAATTCATTTGTATTTCACAGCCTTCCATCAGCTGTAAACAGCTTACAATTGAAATGAAATATTAGTGCTGGTAATCACACATAAAACACACTTTAAATACATAGAGATAAATAAAGATTTGAAATCCAGGATTAACAATAAGGTAACAAATGAGTCAAGGAAATACAAGGCTAATAATCACAAACTTTAGTCAAAATCGAAGGAAATTTATGTCTGATGAGGCAGAAAATTCTGGAGCTGTAGGATGTACGGTCAGGAGTGCAACAAACGAACAATAATGTAAAAGGATTACGTTGTTAAATCGTTAATTGATTAACAGTCAGTAAGTAGCTAATAAAGAGATTATGCAACCAAAAAAAGGAAGACTGTAAACATAAATATGCAAAAAATTATCTACAACTATCAAGATAAGGAAAGCTTAATTACAGTTTCCTTCTGAGTTCATAGGTCAGGTTGAAGATGTTTGATAGCGAAAGCTTTCGCAAACCATAATAAACATGGTGTTCTTCGTTTGTTGATTATCCTGAAAGATTGAGAAACATCTATTTGATGTCCTGTTTCCATCAGATGCCTGATAATTGTGCTTTTAAATACCTTGGTACCATTTAGACACAGATTTCTTGGAATATGATTATAAAATCGAGTAGGCACCCCTCTTTCAGTCTGTCCTATGTACTTAATTCCACAAGCACAGGTGAACTGATATACCCAATTAAAGGTGACGTGAACTGGGTACCTGTCTACTTTAGACTGTGTCAGTGAGCATACTGTATTGTAAACTGAGATCAGTCTGGTAGTAGGGAAGCTTCTTTTCAGTGCAGCTTCTATTCGTCTGTCTATTTTTTCACATGTCTCATCATCTTTAATTGTTAGAAGAAGGAAAATAGGTTTCTTTTCACAAGCTGAATGTTTTGGTCTCTCAACAAATTCTTTTCCATGCTCCATATTGAATTTCTTCAAATATCCATCCTCTATAAGATACCGAATTCTCCTTCTGGCTTATCTTGTGAGCACAGCGTTATTATTCTGCTAAAGAACGTCCCAACTAAACTCCGTTTATAGCCAACTGAATGGAAACTATTCTAGTGAAGCTATCGACCACTCCAAGTGTCTTTCCTACAGGTGGTTTTCTCAGATGTTCCACCTTACACTCAAACCCGAAAAAGAGTCGAATCAGTCCTCATTTTCATATTCCATCGTAAAATTAATATTTGGATGAGCTTAGTTGAAGGTATCGAACAACTTTTACACGCATGATTCATATTATTAAAAACAATCGTAGTATCATCGGCATACCTGCGGTAGTAGTATGTCGTTCTCCTGATTGCAGAGTTCAGATGCGTTTATTCGTGATGAACTATAAATGTACCACTTAGGATAGGTTCTGATGGTGTACACATAGTCATTTCACCAGTTTTTCAGTATAATTCGATTATTAAGCTGGAAGTGAGCACCATTTGAATACTTATCTAGGTGACACGATGTGTGATATAGACTCTGTTATCTTCGCTTTCGATGGGTCCCTCTGATTGCCAATGTACCAGAGATCATACTGCTGATGAATGAACCAACTATCAGAGATTGTTGTGTTTAAGGATTACTGAACGCCTGTACAGTTCAATTACCAAGGCACTGAAGCAGACTCATAGAAATTTTACTCTGGGACATTTAGGCGGAGAACAAGAATGATAGATTACTTTGGAAATAACAGGATTACATACCACTCTTCACTTCATTGCTCTTCAGAGTTTTGTAACTGAGATCACCGAATTTCCCATGAAGAACTTTACTCAAGGCTATGAAAAAACAATATTTTACAGATTAAGTAAGTTTATAAAAAGTGACATTTATCAATGTAATCTGTTTCCATAGAGAAATAATTACCGAATAGTTGAACTCTTGAGTAAAAAAATTAAAAATTGAAAAGTAGAAGGAATTAGGCAAATGGTTTCAGATAAAATCCAATTTTAAGGTTTTTAGGGATTTTACTGATTCCAAGTTAGTATTCATCGTGTAGTGAAATCTGTTGAAGAACTCACGACGCCATCAGCGATCGAACCCAGGAACCCAAGTCCTACGGTTAGCACGTTACAATTGACCCACTGAGTCGAACTCATGTGGTCCACATTTTACTACTTCTGTCAGTTAGCGGCAGACTGCGACCTCCATCCAATACAGTCGTTGATTATCTGCCCTGATGTCCGACTTGGTTTTGCCCCACTGGAATAATGAGCACTGTGGGGTAATTCACTTAGGAGGTGTATGATGGTTTATTTACTTATTTCAAGCTGGTATTCATCATGGACTGACATCATTTGGAGAAACAGTGGAAATCTGGGAGAACTGGAAAGTTGTTGTTTCCTAGTATGGAACTGCTCCAAACTGAATTACTGGTCAGCTCTCATTAATGACGTGCTTCGAGATACGATTTCCTGAAGTTCTAATGTGAAGTGGTGACTTAGGAGACGAAGCAATTCGGACATCAGGACAAATCTTCAACTATGGCATTAAACGCAGGTCATGCTATACCACTTATTTAATGCAGACTCAAGTTCACTGCAAAAATTCTCACGGTCTTGAGGTCGACCCCTCCTACAGTTGTGGATAAGCACTAGTCATGAGTCCTAAATCAGAACAAAACAGGTTTCTACTGCTCCCAGATTTTGAGTGATTGCTCAAATGATATCGATGCATGATGAATACCACTTTGGTATAACTGGAGCATTCATACATGACTGGCGTGGTGAAGTAACAGAAATTGCATTTATTGACTGACAAAAATTAGTCAATAGTGACAACTTAGATGTTGCATTCATTATAGAAGACATACTGTTTTGCGTTTGAAAGATTCCAGTCTCAGAAGGATAATGAATAGATTAAAAAAATGATCTTGGAGCCAAAATGATCTGAAAAAGTATCACTTAGACAGGTGGTTCAACCATCAGGTGTAGTTTAGGCCAGTTTGTTAGGATATTTGTTTTTGTTGTATACTGACTGACATGTCAGTCACTTCACCCAACTCACCTGGGTTATAACTTTGCTTGGTTGTGATTGTCTGAATCACATGATCTTACCGATTCAGTCATGACAATGGCCTTGGACGTGATTGGTTTTGTATTGGCCAGGCAATTTGACCTTCCCATGCAACCGCTTACAACAAAACACAAAAGTCTAGTGCTTATTATTTATATCTGTTTTACCTGCATGTATACATAACTGAAGTCTGCCTAGCCACAACGTACGATAATTTATGAACAAGGTGAAACAACCAATTTCAAGCGCGAACAGTAAGATAGGTACCTACACAATATAATGGATTGATTTCACCCAACATGCTGAAATTACTTCTGAACTATCATTAGTCATGCATATAAATGGATTAGGGAGGAGTGAATCGAAAGTTGTTGAACCGAGTCAACTATTCACTAATTTTACCAATAAAGTCATAAGTAGAACGATTTCTAAAATAAATGAGATAATACAGGACCAATGAAACTTTTTGTAGGAATGGGTTAGGTAGAACTCGATCAGCACTTGGGACTTGACATGAAGTTGGTAACCAATCAATGTACTTAACCTATTTCTACAGGAGGTCAACGGTAGCCTGAATAGCTTGGTGGTGATGTGGGTTCTAGTCTCAAACGGGAGATATGCTTTGTAGACAATTGCCAAGAAGCGCGAAACCTTGGTTGAGTAGGACTTCCTGCTGGTTGCCTCCATCTAACCAACCTATATGTCAGTACATCGCGACGATGAGCATTCTAGCTTAGTGATCACATTAAAAAATCAACGATAGAATCCAGTCCCTACTTAGAGCTAGACTATATGAAGTTGGTTACCCACCCCACTCCCCTCAGTAACCATTTGGTAGATTTATTTATATAATGAACGGTTATACGAAGAAAAAATTTATCCCCTAATTTTATTTTCCGCCTATTTTACGTCTTTCTGTTTTGTATATCCAGTGCTGAGTTATACCCCTCATCCGAGGGACACCCAACAACCTAATGTGTGTCATTCAAATGACGAGACCAGTAACCTTGAGAATAGTAGTCTTATACTACCTGATAAACCTCATAATTATCACAATAGTAATAAAACTAACAATGGTCTATGGCATCAAAAGACAATGAAGACGATTATTAATGATACAGCGAAAATTGCCATTTCACCAATTATTTGCTCCAGTGGAGAGCAAGATGCTTCGAATAGACTAAGCAGAGATACAGCCTATTATAATTCAATGGATTCAATGCCTGAAAGATGTCTGCCCACATGTAAACAGAATGATAAACGCTTTATTAGTTTAAGCCAATTAGAACAAACAAATCAAGAGGATGATGACGGCCAGGAATTACTACCGAATGAACCGTCTACTGTTCGACAATCCTATCGACAACAACAACAAATGAAATTGCAAGAATCTCAACAAACTCAAAGTAAAAAGTCTTCCTTAGTATCAGAACAAACTTATAATGTTGGTGATATTTCTGAAAGTGATGATGAAGGCAGTACTCGACCTATAGGTATACGAGCAAAAATACGTCGAAATGCCGAAGATTTACGTCCATTATACGGAACTGGTGGTCCACTTGGCTCTGTACAACCACAAGTAAACTATAAAGCACAAAATCGTGGTATTGGTTGGAGATTACACTGGCGAAAGATATTTAATGAAAGACGAAGAAAAATTGCTGATTATTCACTATTTTTTGCTGTAATGGGCATTTTACTAATGGTATTTGAATTGGAATTGATTATGGCTAAAGTTTACTTAAAAGTGAGTCCTTTCATTTGATTTTTTAATGGACGATGTGTAATTTTACTATTCAAACAATATGATAATTACACTAGGGATTATTGTGATTATATTTATCCTTGGCGATGGCTACCATTGGAATTCAGGACACGTGTTTCGTCCTAGTCGTGACACGTCACATGGATGCACCTGCCTATCAGTGGGTGATGTTTTCCCCACTGAGGCCTGAACCTAGCACCGATCTCTTCAAATACTGTAACGTTATCCACTCGCCTACTAAGGCATGAAAACCACCTCTTGTGCAACGGGTATGAATTATTCCTTTTGTAATGCATTGAATTGAAATATGCGCTCCTATGAGGAGACCTAGATATTGACTGAAGATTCACTACCTTATAATTTGTTTGGTGATATCTAGTAGTGAATTAATGATACAGATCTTTTCCAGTATTATAAGAGATAAACCATACCCCGGATAGCTCAGTGGTAACATCGTTAATAAAATACTAGGTGACGTGGGTTCGAATATCACAGGGGACATCAGTTCCGTTAAGGTTGCAGATATGGACTGCTGACGAGTGCTAACAAGCATAAAATCTGGGTAGAGAAAGAATAGCTTTCTGCTGATTACCTCCATCCGATTAACATGTATCGAAATACACCGCAATGATTAATCTGTTAGATTAACGGCCACATTGTAAAATTATCGATAGAATACTCAATTCTAGTTAGACTCTATTGAACAATCAATCTATCTATGTATAATTTGGGATATTTAAAGTAGAGATCAACTGTAGTTCTTAAGTAAACATATTCGAAAAAACGTTTTTCATTAGAAGTGACTGACGTGTTAATGTAACCTAATCATCACCTTACTGGTTCAACTCCTATCATATCTCTTCGCATGATATCTTATTGAAACCAACAATTGTATCAGCTATTATTCTTGCAAGTCATTCATGAAAGGTGAAAATTTGTTTGAATAGTTTTCAATATCCCACTCAATTATAATAAAATCAATCTTTGGGTCTGTTTGATGAACTCACTTCGTCAAATGATATCTAACAGTATGAACTAATCATATTCGATTATTCATATAAACTTTCATTGTACAGTTAGACGACAGATAATTAAATAATCCGTGCATTTTGATTCCTGATGAACTTAATGTTCCCCAGTATGATTTTGTAGTGTCATATGACCTAAAAATGAAAATTAGCCGCTATATACACTCAAGAACAGCAGGAGACAGATAAGAGCAGACAACTTTACCCTATCTTTAGATGTGTAATTGTTAAAAGTGAAGGTGTGTGGTGAATTGACAGATTTAAAGAGGCTTTCGTGATATATCGACGTCAGCTGGAGAAACACTGAAAACCTGAAAGCACTGAACAGCCGTTTCGTCTTATTCGGCGACTTCTCAGTTGTGCATACTCACGACCCTAGGTACAATGGGTGACTTATGTATCGATCTAGACCTTACCGGTTGACATCGATCATAATCTGTCGATGAGATTTTGTAGTGTTTACCGCTAAGCTGAGTGATGCCGCCTTACCGTACGCTGTCTTTATGGCAGAAGTCAGTCGGAAGGAAGCCTTTTTTACCCAGGTTTCGTACTTGTTGGCACTCATCAGCTGAGCGTTCCTGCAACTATTAGAAAAATGGAGTTTCCCCGGTGATTTAAAGTTGTATAATTCAGTGCTAAAGCCATCAGCCTCCTCTACCAAGTTATTTTTGCCACGGCTGATTCCCTTTAGTACTGGATTACATGCATAGATTGGTCATCTCTTCAATAAGGCACTGCAAATGTAAACAATAAATAGTGTGAACATGAGGCAACTAATTTAAACGTATTTTTATTTTCTGTATAAATGATGGATAGTGGTTAGCAATGAGATCCAAAATATATGTTTCCTTCAGTTGAGAACTCACTCATCAGCTGGATGTACCTCGAATTCAATGTCAGTAATGATGTCTCTACTGAGAAGTGGACTCAGTACCTATTGTTTCAATCCTGTTTGGTGGCTCATATGACGCTTTTTCGATGGAATTGATAAGTGTTGGTTTTAAGCCTTTCTGCAGGCATCATCACTCACCGCAATGCAAGTAAGTGAGGCTAACGAGTCTCAGACAGAACGAAGCACTGCTAACCACTTCCAATCGTCACCGTCCACCTAATGAAGGATGTAAATTGTGATGATGAGTCAGGGTAACGAATTAGTGAGGCTCTAGTGGATCACCTATCAAGCAAACTTTAAATATCTGTTATTCCGATATATAAACACTTTGTCAGTGAGTTTTTATTCATAGATTCATTATTTAGGTGTTGTATACAAAATATTACCTTAAATGTTGGTTGTCTAAACCAATCTAAAGACTTATTCCTCCACATATTTTTTAGACATCAATTTATTCGATGTTAATGAAATCCTTAATCAGTGCATCAACGCTTATATTGGTTGGCCTTACACTTGTTTACCATGCAGTTGATATTCAAGTAAGTGAATACTGATGCAGAGTTTTCATATTTCCATACTTTTAAGCTTAACATTTCATATCCAGTCGATCCATGTTTTTATTAATAAGTATGGATCTTTTTAAGATGATCAAATTGTAACTGAATATTTTGGCTGTTTGAGCTGAATTTGTCCCGGATTCACCGTTGATAATCTCCGTCGTGGATAAGCGGAACGGAAACCATTCTGACTTGGTTGATGAAATCTACAGAACAGCCTGAGTGGTTTCTAACTACTCAATTTGTTCAGTAGTAGAATTGCTCGTTAGTTCATTAAACTTTCACAGTGTTGGCTGCGCTGTGGTCTCCAATTAAAACTTTGTTAAAGCCACCTGAATTGATTGGAAGTTGAAAACTAATCATCTCAGACAAATGTTAATAAGGATAGTGCAATTTGTAAACACTTTACAAATCAATCAAACTAAATTGTTTCAGAAGTTTAACATCTACAGATTGCTAATTCCGTGAACTTTATACTAGCCATTTTCATATCCAACGGCCTTGTCGTTACACTCTTAGATGCCTATGTGACTCCTTCCGAATTCTATCAGCGTTGCTTGATGTATTTCAGTTAGCTAATCCATTATTCTCATTCCATTTCATATACAAGTTACGTTGGTTATGCTAGAATTAATGAATGTTCATCTTATTGTTGTATTGTTACATTGACATCTAGTACATACTGGTTGGTTGATTCATCCAGTAAGCATAGAAACCATGATTAGAAATTTTTGTAATTGACATTTTTCTGATGATCAATATATTACTAACAAGTAGTCAAAATTATAAAACAAAATAAATATGGATTTCTAGTTGATATTCGTCTTGGGTTGACATCACTTGGAAAAACATGAGGAACCTGAGAGCATTGGACAACTGTTTGGTCCTAATATGGGACTTCTCAGAATTGCACACTTGTGACCGTGCTACGGATCGAAGCGACGACTTTTAGGTTCTATGGCCAGCAGGTTACCGTTGAGCGATGGGTGGGAATCCAATGGTTCAAAAAAATCCCCGGAAAACTGAAAATTGAAATCAATACCAGTTCATGGAAGCCAGCTAGCCAAATTCAGACGATCTGAATTAATTCAGATTTATGAGTTGAATTTGTACCAGTTCATTACTGGTGCACTAATTCATCCCCGAGGGAGTGTAAGGGCCCTTAGGCGTTTAGATTACTCTGATCTCATCTGGATGGCTGGTGAAATTTTCAGATCAACTTGAGTGAGTGATTCCAAACTATTCAAGTTATTCAGCAGTATATCAAGCATTTTGTTTGATTTCTTGGATGTTCAGATTGACTTATCTTCCTAATTTCTTTCTACATACGATTGGTTTGCTCAAGTAGTTAGCCGAAAATTCCATTTGACCTGAAGAATTCAGCTATTCAGCTTGAATTGATCCCATGTACATCAACCCTGATAAGCTGGTAACAAAATGAGAAAGATAGCCATCAGATGTTTGGTTAAGCTTTCTCTTGCTAACGATTACTCATGATCAACGTCACTAGTAGACAACTGGTCGCGTCGATTTCGATATCATTTAGAATGAAAAGCAGATCACATATGACTTCAGTATTTTGGTTTCCACCCCAAGCAAAAAATTAGGGTGCATCATCCTATAGAGACTGAAAAATGCGCTGGATTCAAAAATACGACCGGAGCAGGCTGGCTTAAGGAAGAACAAATCATGTGAGGATCAAATTGCAACGCTACAATACGCATCATCATAGAACACAGTACAGAATGCAAGTCAACTCAAATAAACCTCAACTTCATCGACTTCGAAAAGGCTTTTGACAGAGTCGACCGTCAAGTAATTTGGCAGTTGCTTCAACACTACGGTTTTTGTGCCACAAATCTTTATCTAATTCATTCAACAACTTTATGAACACTCCACATGCCAAGTGATTCACAATGGGAAGATCAGTGATGCCTTTGAAGTGAAGACAGGAGACAGGAGTAAGATAAGGCTACTGTCTACTATCAACGGTCATCTTCCTCATTGTGGTCGACTCGACTGGATCATACAACAAACAGTGAGGAGCTGTGAGAAGAGGGGATACTCTGGACCGTGGAAAAGATCCTAGAAGATTTTGATTTCGCCGATGACTTATGTCTAATGCAACACAAACTTGAAAATCTACAGGCATAATCCAACAAGTTGACAGTAGAAGTGAGGCAGGGCAGCGAAGATGGGACTTCCTTCAAGTGAATGTACAGAAGACAGAGGTAGAGGTGATGAAGATACCCAACAAACACCACCACCAACAAGCTCCAATCACCATCAATGGGAGAAACTTGAAAGAAGTAGTCTCCACCTGTCTAGGCAGCTCTGTCTCAACTACAGGTGGCAGCACTGACACAGATGACGATGTCAAAGCCAGTCAGGATCCGAAATGCAACAAGACAGGTGTTGATTAGCCTGAAACCAGTGTGGAGATCTACTGCACTACACTCAGCATAAGGCGTGAACAATGTGTGGATTTTCAACACGAATGTGAGTCGAGTCAGTCAGTGCTTGTATGTGATGGTTGAGAGACTTGGTGGGTTACGAAAAGCATTTCCAACAAACTACAGACATTCATGAACAACTGCCACCTACACTGGCTCACTACTGAATATCAGATGGCCAGAATAATAAGAATAAGCAAGGTGGAACTCTGTCCGGGTAACGAATGAACCAACCAAGAAGCTATCGCTGAACAAATATGAAGTGTAAGGAAGTGGAGATGGATTGTATAAGGCATACACTGAGAAGGTTAACTGGGGTCATCACTTGCCATGCTAGTTGCTCGAGTAGAACCCAGATGGGAAGCGATGAGTTGGGCGTCTCAGTTGAGAGTGATATGGCGGAGATCATGTGAGGAAGAAATGAAAGGTTTTGATCAGTGATGGAGTGAGGTTGAGAAGACTGTAGAGAAGAGAGTGGAATGGAGACGTGCTACTGAATCCCTATGTTCCATTAGGAACCCAAGAGGCAAATAATAATAAATAATTTATGTTTCCATAGAATATTGTATCATTCGAATATGGACTGTGTGTTTAGACAAAGTGGATTTTAATTTCATTTTGTTTCTCCGTCGGAAAACGTTTTCATGTCAGTATGCAGTTTTCATTAGTACCATATTACATAAAGGTGAACGTTTGGCCATTGTGATGCGTAAACTAACTGCGAAACGTTTCTCAGTGTGATATATTGGAACTTACTTCATGTGAACAAGTTTCCAAGCGAGTTTTTTTCACTTTCAGAGGTTCGGTTTCTGACATTTTCTAAAAACGATTTTAAGCATTTTTGTCATCTCAACATATAGAATTAATTTTATCATATTGCTTTCTGCGGAGTTGTGAAGCACCTTTTCTTTAGGTTCAGTTAGCTTGTCAGATAATAGGCAACAAAACGACTGAGCACAATGACCACCTACTCCATTGATATAAAAATTTGGATCAGCCATATGGGATCTGTGAAACTGCACAGTTTACTGTTTTGTACTTCATCACCTTAAAACATGGTCATCGGAGGTGGGGGACATGAAGGGACCTCATATGCTCGAAATGCGTTGCCTCCGTGACATAGGCCAAGTCAAGGAACAACCATTTTATTAATATACAGATGAGGTCTAGAGTTATCGGCATTGGGCACCGACTTTAGTTGATGAGGCATTCCGCATGCCTAGTCACTGTTTCCCTTGTAGCTGAATGAAGTTTAGGTTAGAGGCAGCCATCTCTGGACTCCATAGAGTCTATGCTTGTCCCTTTAAGTCACGCCTACAAGACAACAAAAATCGGTGAGTAGAAACTGTAAGTGATATAGTTGAGAATAGATATCCCTGGTGTAGAGGCATCCACACATCTTTATCTTAATCACCGCATAGCATTTCGTCATGCTTTTACTCTGTTTTTGTATCTTTTGTTACTTTTTTTCCCATTTCTTTATTTCTCTTTGTATGTTGATATTCTGGTGCGGGGTGTTGCAACTTAACCAGTTACACAGTAGTTTTAATAATTCTGAAGGAGAACTACCATGATGCTGAACTTGTCTCTTCTCTGAATAAATTATGTTCGCTCTTATGGTTGAGTGAGAAGGTGGCATCGTTGTGTGGGTTACACACGTACAAACTGTGTTTACTTCTATAATGGTCATTTCGATTGACTTATTTCTGTTAACACGTTCACCAACTGCCTGACTCTTTCCATTGTACACCATACAGGAGGCCCTACAGGAGGTCAGTCATAGACACAGTAGCTTAGCAGTTCCGTCTATCACTTCACCTCTGACTGACTTGGGTCCATCACATCAACGAGGAAAGCCCAGTTTCTTTATGTTTACTTACTGACGATCCCTGACAAGGATGAAACTCATGCCAAGTATGCCTTCACATACATCGTCTAACAAGAAAGAGGTGGGACATCAGTTCTATCGGTGGTGCAGATACACCTTACTGACGACTGCCAACAAGAACGAAATCTAGATCCAGGACCTCCTGCCTACTGCCTCCAACCAACTTATACTGAGGAAAGAAGTATGCCCTGAAGCCAATCTAATGGATTCAGGCCTTGCTAAAATAACGACCCATCCAACTTTCCTGACTTCCGTATGTTCGGTTAATGTTCTTAGATGGTCACCTGTTATTTGTTACATCGAAGTAAAATATTTTAAATCTCATATTTAATTATTTTTCTTCTTATTTTCTCTTTTAAGCTATTTTGTATTAATAATTGTATTGAAGATTGGCGGATAGCACTAAATTGTAGAAAAATTTCTTTAACACTCATTGAAGTATTCATTTGTCTAGTACATCCACCACCAATTCTATCCAACTATAATATTTATGCATATAATAGTGCATATCATACATCATCAAGTGTATGGAGTTTCAAACAAGCTAATGATGTTGTAGTTGACAATTCCTTATTATCATCTAATGAATTACATAATACACATTATAGTCGACCAATCACTACACGATAATATCAAGTACATTTTTATCATCTTCATCAGATAATTCCACCTATCGATTAGTTGATCTACCATTTCCAACTGTACCTATTACTTCTAATCATAATGATATATCAAGTGAAAAGATTATGCCTATGGTCACTCTTGAATTAACTTTATCTGTTCCAATGTTTTTACGATTATATTTAATTTTTCGTGTACTATTACTGCATTCAACAATGTTTACAGATGCTGGTTCACGTAGTATTGGTGCATTGAATCGTGTTAAAATTAATGTCCGATTTGTATTGAAAACATTAGCTACAGTTTGTCCCGGTACTATGCTTTTAATATTTATTTTATCCATGTGGATTGTTACCAGTTGGATAATGCGAGTTTGTGAAAGGTGAGTTGAACTAGTGCTGTATACATTTATTTTAATTTTAAGATTTGTAGGGATTTATTTCAATCACTAGCTGGCTTAATAGTTAAGTTTTGGGTACGGAACCTGAAAGACCTGGGTTAGCTCCTTGGCAAGGTTATAGGTGAGCACTGATGACCAGTCCCATACTAGTGGGACGGAACAGCTACCCAGTACTCCAAAGCTTTCAATGTTCATCCAATTGGTGAATACCAACCTGAAAACTACATTTATTTTGAAATAATTAGTCTCCTTCATGAATTTTGATGAAACAATAAGATTATAATCTTTCTATCTGAGATAGAAGACTTAATTTGTCGGGTGACTTTAAAGACCACCGTAGCAACGTACGAAATAACCAATTAGGTTTCTTTATTATGGCTTGAAAGGTAGATTTTCATAAAATAAAGAAACCAGATTGATAATTACAGTTGTTGCTAGACTGGCCGTTAAAGTAGATCTAATTTGTCTGAATCGTGTAATGTATTGTCGCATAACATTTCAAACACGCATATTTGTCATTTAGATTAGAAATTACACCGTTAAGGAGTAGGAAACTGATAATCGTCAGATGGGAAATTTATATTGAAGGTTAGAATAACTACAGAACTTTTAGTAGTAAAATAACCTTGGGTTCAAAGCTGAATTTACGAAGGAAGGTTTAATGTCATGAACAAATTATTTTCGAATGGATATAAAGCTGGCTTGAACCTCATTCTAATAGCTAATGCTTCAACAAACCTAAAAATACATCTAAAACAGGGTGTTAATGATGTTTGTACATCCACTTTATGCCTCATTTGAATAATATACTGTTAACCCCAAGAAAAATATTAGGCCGCACCATCCTGGACAAACCAAAGGATGCGCTGGATTCAAATTTAAACCGGAACATGCTGACTGACCTCAGAAAGAACAACTCATATGAGGATCAAATTGCAACGCTACAATACGCATCATCATAGAACACAGTATAGAATGGAAGTCAACTCAAATAAACCTCAACTTCATCGACTTCGAAAAGGACTTCGACAGCATTGACCGATAAGTAATTTGGCAACTGCTTCAACACTATGGAATACCACAAACACTTATCAACCTCATTCAACAGCTATATGAAAACGCAACAGCACAAATCGTGAACAATGTATGGATTTTCGAGACCGATGTTAGTGAAGTCAGTGCAAGGTGGAACTCTGGCCAGCCAGCCAGCCAGCCAGCCAGCCAGCCAGCCAGCCAGCCAGCCAGCCAGCCAGCCAGCCAGCCAGCCAGCCAGCCAGCCAGCCAGCCAGCCAGCCAGCCAGCCAGCCAGCCAGCCAGCCAGCCAGCCAGCCAGCCAGCCAGCCAGAGTTCCACCTTTCTTTTTCTTATTATTCTGGCCATCTGATCTTCAGTATCGAGTAAGCGTAGGTCCCAGCTGTTGATGAATGACTGTAGTTTGTTCGAAGTGCTTATCGCAACGCGCCAACTTTCTGAACCATCCATCACACTGAAGCACTGACTTCACTAACATCGGTCTCGAAAATCCACACATTGTTCACGATTTCTGCTGATTGCAGTGGAGTGCAGTAGATCTCCACACTGATTTCAGACTGATGATAGCCTGTCTTGCTGTCTTTCCTATCCTGACTGCTTTGACATCCTCGTCTGTGCCTGTGCTGTCACCTGTAGTTGAAACGATGCTGCTCTGTCTAGGTAGCTGTAGGTGTGGGTGAAAGAGACTACTTCGTTTAGGTTTCTCCCGTTGATGGTGATTGGTGTCTCTTGTTGTTGATGCTGTTGTTCATTGGGTATCTTCATCACCTCCACCTCTGTCTTCTCTACATTCACTTGAAGGAAGTCGTGTTTTCGCTGCCTCACCTCTTCTGTCAACTTGTTAGATTTTGCCTACAGGTACTCGAGTTTGTGCGACAAGCATATTAGATATAAGTGATGATGGGTGGTGAAATGCAAATCTTCTCCTGGAGTCTTTTCATCGGTGCAGCCAGTGTATACCCATGTTCTCACAGCTCCTCACGGTTTGCTGCATGATCCAGTCCAGTGGAGTTGACCACAATCAGGAGGATTGTCGGTGATAGTAGACGGTAGCCTTGTCTTACTGCTGTCTCCTGTCTTCACTTGAAAGACGTTGCTGAGCTTTCCGTTGTGGATCACTTGGCATGTTGCGTTTTCATATAGCTGTTGAATGAGGTTGATAAGTGTTTGTGGTATTCCATAGTGTTGAAGCAGTTGCCAAATTACTTATCGGTCAATGCTGTCGAAGTCCTTTTCGAAGTCGATGAAGTTGAGGTTTATTGAGTTGACTTCCATTCTATACTGTGTTCTATGATGATGCGTATTGTAGCGTTGCAATTTGATCCTCACATGATTTGTTCCTCTTCATTTGGATGATGGATGGAATCGGCTAGGAGGATGAGGAATTTTTCATAAGTTTCGGCCAACTGATTCACCTGACTTACTTAAATTTCATGCATAACAACATAAGCGCCTAATTTTTCTATTGTTACGAAAAAATTCTTCCTCGTTTCCAGAATTCCTGCTATCCACTCAACTTACATTCTCAATTTATTAATTTAACTACTCATGAGTATGCTTTTAGTGTACAAAACAACTTGTTACATTCAGTAAATCATGAAAACCATAACTGCCTCGTTCGGAAAAGCAGCGTTGGTTAGTCATGGAAATCAAAATTCAGATATGCGACTTAGAAGAGAATGATATAGAATAGACTGAAATGATGACATAATTAAAAATCATGTCATGATGATAAAAACAATCAACTGTGCTCGAGACGATATCCGGTCAATTATACTTCATTATTGTGTACTATACTTAAGCAGTTTATTCATCGTGTGTGTTTACTTGTTTTGTAGTTCAAGGATACGAGTTTGTCTGCTTCTAGTACCTAGAAACACTTTTTTCACTTGTTTACTCGCTAATCTTACACTAATATCCGACCCAAACACAGACTTATCTTAGCTCTATTCACCACATCAGACTCAGTAATCCTCAACTCTTGTTCACTGGTTAGTCTCTGTTAACAGTTTTTCCCATTCCCCAATGACACTTCCCACAGTCTCACTGACTAACAAATATCAGGAAATGACAAACTGTCGCTTCATAAACTACTGCCAATTTCGACGTGCCATGCTAGGAGAAGTTGGATTCGGTTGGAAAAGGGCTCAGGAAGGCAGGACGAAGACGTGGCACCAGTGCATGAAGTCCCTGATTGTTGATCTGAGCCGTGTAGGCAGTAGTCGACTACTGCCTAACAGAGATCGCTAAGATGCTAGGAATTTATGGTTGAGGACTGTTGGTGATATGGCCGAAAATCTGTAACAATGGTGTAAATACATTCACACCTTGACGTCTTCTGAAGCTTGAATGTTCACACCAATCTTAATCTTCAGATCATTTATTCTACCACACAACTTTATCTACCCTAGCACCACTCTTTTTCTGTCCACCTGTTTTTGTAAACTAACCCTACTAGATAAGAAACAAATGTCATCCCACTTGGCGAATCAGACGGCGACATCCTGAGAAAGCTGTCCAAGTTACAGCCTTATTAAGCCATATCACTAGGACACCAAGATATAAACAGAAAGCATCTCAGATGGTTAAGCTTCTAAACTTTAATATTGATGTCAAAGCCTGCACAATGAGTGGCCAGTTTGACTTAGTAGCCTAGCGATTGGCACTGTGGCGCCTGAGGCAGTTGGTACTCGGTTCCAGTCTTGGTGGGAACGATATCACTCACGGAGAAGCAGGAACATCTAACTGGTGAGTCCCAAGTAGGATGAAACGTGCACTATGGAGTCCCCTGCTAGCTACTATCCATTTCTAATGTCAAGTTGTGAAGCGAGTTAGGACTATTAGTCACTACTGCTGGAAAAGTATACTTAACATGTGCTCAGTCATGATCGATCATGGTGTGACATGGTGGAATTCAAAGGGATAGGATGTAGCAAACCATGAAGCGATGAAAGGGGGATTAAGTTTGTATGAATGAAATCGTCAATACTGATCCCTGACAGGAGATTAAACTATTCCGTACTATCCCGTTTCATGTGCAAACCGAGTTATACTCATGAACACAGAAGTAAGACTTGTGCCCAGGGGAAATGTGATTCGGTTTTTATTGATTTATTAGAATTATCACACACTTGACCCAGTATTATTTGCTGCATTACATTTCAAACATAATCATACTGTCCACAGTCATATCAAGATGACATCAAAACAACATCAAAGGGTTCGCCTTAATGTTGATTTATCTAAACTGATTGTTACTTGACAAACTTGATTAGCATTCCATATTTATATAGTCCCAATTTCCTCACCCCCTTTCGAAATAACTTGCGCAGTAGGATTTTCCATGCATTCCGAACAGGTGAAGAGTCATTCATGTTGCTGCATGTATTACTTGTTGATTCGATCAACAAAGATTCTGTCATCAAGTCTCTCCCTCCACTCCACTAGATTAGTTTTAAGGATTTTCACACTCGCTTCCATCCTAGTGTGATATTGTGTGTGGTTGCATGCACTGTTATGGCTGAGCTTGCTTCCTTACTAGCATCGAGTAGTTTTAACTTAGCCTGACCTTCATGCTCGGATAGCCTAATTCGTTATTGGTCAACTAATTCCACCTAAGCATGTCAGCCAGCCATGGTTGAGAGGGATTTGGTAAACAAAGTTATTCTACCTAGTTGGATCAATGGGATCTTGCAACCTACTAAGCTTATTTCGAAGTCAGTTTGTAGGTTGAAATACCAGCCAATCTGATCCCAGTCTCTTTCTGTTAACATTGGCTTAGTAAAGTGTCTAAGTAATAGGGTTGAAAATATTACTAGTCAAAGAGAAGATCGAAGACAAGAAACCAGTTGCATTAAGGACACTGTACTCATCAACAATCGTCCTCCAAAATTAATTGATACATTCCTTAGGAATCATAAGATAAATGTTAGTAAAACAGATGTTAGTGGTAGTGATAATAATGTTGACATAAGTAGTGGGAATACTATGAAGAGACAATTCAAAACTGGTAGAGTATTTCCACACAGGGAAGGCAACTCAGAAACACTATGTAGGATTGTGAGTAAGGCTGGCTGCGATTGTAGTGACTAGCATTTCAACCTACAAACTGACTTCGAAATAAGCTTAGTAAGCTGGAATATACTATTGATCGGATTAATCAAAATAGTTTAGTTTACCAAGAAATAGCTTAGGTGGATTGGGAAGTAGAATTCCTCTGTGAAAGTAGTCGACCATTATCAACTACACTCTCCGAGCACAAAAACTACCCATATCAGAATTCTTAGTTCCTTGTAAGATAGGGAATGTATAGAATAGCTGGATGATAGGTGTGTAGGATGGGAAAGAGTGGAAATGTTTAAAACGGGGATAACAGTGTGGAGGGAGAGACTTGATGACAGAATCTTTGTTGATCGAATCAACAAGTAATACATGCAGCAACATGAATGACTCTTCACCTGTTCGGAATGCATGGAAAATCCTACTGCGCAAGTTATTTCGAAAGGGGGTGAGGAAATTGGGACTATATAAATATGGAATGCTAATCAAGTTTGTCAAGTAACAATCAGTTTAGATAAATCAACATTAAGGCGAACCCTTTTGATGTTGCACAAATGGAAGGATTTACTTTGTTTACCGTTTACAGTCTGATACTACATATTCAGATGAGATATGCAAGGATTTAGATACTTTGATCAGTTTTCTCTATGTTTGTAAAATCAACAGCTGATATGACTGAGTTAAATATTTCATAAGTGAATCATGTACAGCAGATATTTTCAGATCTTTTTACCCTTCATTCAGTTGAATTTTATTTCTAACTCTGTAATTGTCTTTTGAGTGTGATAGGAGTGTAGACTGTCTGTTTATTATTTTTATTATTATTATTATTTATTACTTAGGTTCCTAGTCGAACATAAGGCTTCAGTAGAACGTCTCCATTCCACTATCTTCTCTGAAATCTTTTCAACCTGGCTCCACAACAGCCCACAAGCTCTCGTTTCTTCTCACAAGATCTCATCCATATCACTCTCAACTGAGACACCCAACTCATCGCTTCCCATCTGGGTTCTACTCGAGCAACTAGCATGGCAAGTGATGTCCCAGTCGACCTTCTCAGTGTATGCCTTATACAATCCATCTCCACTTCCTTACACTACATATTTGTTCAGCGATAGCTTCTTGGTTGGTTCATTCGTTACCCGGACAGAGTTCCACCTTGCTTATTCTTATTATTCTGGCCATCTGATATTCAGTAGTGAGCCAGTGTAGGTGGCAGTTGTTCATGAATGTCTGTAGTTGTTGGAAATGCTTTTCGTAACCCACCAAGTCTCTCAACCATCACATAGAAGCACTGACTGACTCGACTCACATTCGTGTTGAAAATCCACACATTGTTCACGCCTTATGCTGAGTGTAGTGCAGTAGATCTCCACACTGGTTTCAGGCTAATCAACACCTGTCTTGTTGTCTTTCGGATCCTGACTTGCTTTGACATCGTCATCTGTGTCAGTGCTGCCACCTGTAGTTGAGACAGTGCTGCCTAGACAGGTGATGGAGGCTACTTCGTTCAAGTTTCTCCCATTGATGGTGATTGGAGCTTGTTGGTGGTGGTGTTTGTTGGGTATCTTCATCACCTCTACCTCTGTCTTCTCTCTATGTCCACTGAAGGAAGTCCCATCTTCGCTGCCCTGCCTCGTCTCTTCTGTCAACTTGTTGCATTATGCCTGTAGATCTTCGAGTTTGTGTTGCATTAGACATAAGTCATCGGCGAAATCCAGATCTTCTAGGATCTTTTCCACGGTCCAGCGTTTCCTCTTCTTGTCGCTCCTCACTTTTGTTGTATGATCCAGTCCAGTTGATCACAATGAGGAAGATGACCGGTGATAGTAGACGGTAGTCTTGTCTTACTCCTATCTCCCGTCTTCACTTCAAAGGCATCACTGATCTTCCCACTGTGAATAGACTGTCTTTTGCTTGAATTATATTCTTTTTTAATCAAGTAATTTACTTTAGTCAATTTTAATCGTGTAAAATTTATTTCCTATTCCTTCTTCTTCTTCTTCTTCTTGGTGCACAGTCAATTACTTCTATGAGCTAATTTACTTTTCTTTTTTCTATCTAGAGAACAAAATAAAGAATATGAAAAATTGTTAAATTCAATGTGGTTAATTGCTGTCACATTTTTAAGTATTGGCTATGGTGATATGGTACCGAATACAAATTGTGGTAGGGCAATATCTGTGTTAGCTGGTGTAATGGTGAGTTTTTAATGCATGATATATATTGTGACTATCAAAACTAAACCTCTTCTTTCCCTTATAAAATAGAAGGTTTCATCAACTTGGAAAATAAATTGCTTATAGCGGTTCAATTACCAAAGTTTGTGTGTTAAACACATCATTGAAATGTTTCATCTTGAAGTTTACTTCAAATACTTTCGACAATGAAGACAATTAGGTGTTACTTATCGATACTTGTAGTTCCCCGTTGTTTACTAGATCAAACTGACCAACCTCTGTTTGCTTATGGAATCCTTTGCTAATACTTCTTTATTACCCGACGACTGAATATGCTATACTTTGTGCGATAGTGACCAGCTTTGAAATCCAGGAAATTACAAGTCAAAAGTAACAACAACTGAAAGTGATTACACAAGAGTTGGCTATAATAACTCAATGGGTTAGGGTAAAGTGCTCTAGAGTTTCAAAGGATGCACATCTAGTCTGAATTTCAGGGAGGAATAACATCACATACAGGTGCATCTACCTGACGAATGGATCATGTATACTGGATCCCATTACTAGCTACGTATTCATTCAGAACGTATTCCTCCATTTTATGCTAAAATAAATCGATAACACGACAACTGAAGTTCTTCAAATCGTTTTCACCTCGCTATTTAGTGGTTGGTTATCTGGTTAGTGTAAAATAATCTTGATAGGTAATATCACGCACAACGTTTCTCATTCATCGACAGAAGGTTACCCACTATCGTTCTGTTTACAGGATGAAACAAATCAGATCACCAACCTTTGGTTATCTCATTATCACTATAGGTAGTTTCATCAATTCTAACTTATTGATATACCAATATTTCACAATCATTGATTTATAGATGAAGATGAGGTCATGTCGAGTGTTGATAAGTTATAATTTGATTTCCATCAGATCATACTCAACTAGAAAAGCTTTCTTAAGGTGCTCATCTTGTCTCTAACATTTAGTGGGTATGTCATTCAGTAAAAAAACATCCTTACAAAGTATCCTACCAAACTCATCAAGTAGTACTTGTTAAACAAAAATGAAAATTTTTATTTTGGTTATTTATCAAGGGTTACTGAGAAACTATGAAATGTCAGTTGCTTTTGTTCAAGATGATTGCGGTAGTGTGCAAGCCAACCAAATGTTCTTAACAAATTGAAACCATTAAGGTATAGAATGAAAGGCGGGTGTTTTCTTTACGTAAGTCACGACAGTTGTCGTAAGGTAAAAAAGAATGTCGGAAAACCTAATAAAAGTCGAACAATACAATTAAATATCGTTATTACTATTATTATTCCCTTGGATTCCTAGTGGAACACAGGGCTTCAGTACCACGCATCCATTCCACTCACTTCTCTACAGTCTTCTCAACCTCGCTCCACCACTGCCCAAAACCTTTCATTTCCCCTTCATATGATCTCCTCCATGTCACCCTCAGATAGGACACCCAACTCGTCGTTTCCCCTTTACGTTCCACTCAACGGCATGGCCTGGCTCATGATGTCCCTAATCGGCCTTCTCACTGCATGTCCAATATCAATCCACTTCCACCTTCTTCGACTGAATATTTGTTCGGCGATAGGTTGTTGGTTGGTTGGTTTGTTGCCAGCCAGCCAGAGTTCCACCTTTCTTTTTCTTATTATTCTGGCCATCTGATCTGATCTGATCTTCAGTATTGAGTAAGCGTAGGTCCCAGCTGTTGATGAATGACTGTAGTTTGTTGAAGTGCTTATTGCAACGAGCCAACTTTCTGAACCATCCATCACACTGAAGCACTGACTTCACTAACATCGGTCTCGAAAATCCACACATTGTTCACGATTTCTGCTGATTGCAGTGGAGTGCAGTAGATCTCCACACTGATTTCAGACTGATGATAGCCTGTCTTGCTGTCTTTCCTATCCTGACTGCTTTGACATCCTCGTCTGTGCCTGTGCTGTCACCTGTAGTTGAAACGATGCTGCTCTATCTAGGTAGCTGTAGCTGTAGGTGTAGGTGTAGGTGTAGCTGTATGTGTATGTGTATGTGTATGTGTAAGTGTGGGTGAAAGAGACTACTTCGTTTAGGTTTCTCCCGTTGATGGTGATTGGTGTCTCTTGTTGTTGATGCTGTTGTTCATTGGGTATCTTCATCACCTCTACCTCTGTCTTCTCTACATTCACTTGAAGGAAGTCGTGTTTTCGCTGCCTCACCTCTTCTGTCAACTTGTTAGATTTTGCCTACAGGTACTCGAGTTTGTGCGACAAGCATATTAGATATAAGTGATGATGGGTGGTGAAATACAAATCTTCTCCTGGAGTCTTTTCATCGGTGCAGCCAGTGTATACCCATGTTCTCACAGCTCCTCACGGTTTGCTGCATGATCCAGTCCAGTGGAGTTGACCACAATCAGGAGGATTGTCGGTGATAGTAGACGGTAGCCTTGTCTTACTGCTGTCTCCTGTCTTCACTTGAAAGACGTTGCTGAGCTTTCCATTGTGGATCACTTGGCATGTTGCGTTTTCATATAGCTGTTGTATTCCCCTAATATACGTGTTTAAGGACAAAAAATACTATGCTTAAATATCAGATGTTGTTAGCTTACACATTCAACAATATTTCTACAGTTCTAGGACTTTAATGAAATTATTAACACAAAAGGTGAATTAGTTGTGGAGAAACTATTAACAATTGAACAGTGTTAGTATTGGAAAAGCTTTTTCCGTTCAAAACTACATTTCAGGGACCAATATTATAATGGGATGGCAAACCGTCTTCACCTATGAGGTTAATATTTTAAAGGTTGAAAAATATTTCATACAAACATTCATATGTAGCTGAAATAGGGTGCACTGTTTGTAAACTGACTCCTGATTAATTCATATAGCCGAACAATGAAATGTTCATCTACAAATATGAAAAGTTATTCGAATCAGTAATCTCATCTAAATTGTAAATTGAATAGTAGGAAAGCTGTATTAAATGTTTTACTACGCTGATTAATAACAGAAGAAATTTATTTATACGCAGTCTGTTATTCATCAATGAATAAACTTGAAGAAGTAGTATACGTTTGAAAGAAAGCGGAAATAGCGAATACAGTTTACGATAAACAAAACAACTGCATAATGATTAACTTGATCCCTGCTTGATTAGTACTGTTTCAATGAGAGATACCGGTTGAATAAGAGTGTAGCAAGACATGAGCAGTCACTGACTTCAATTGATCAATTATCAGTGCACATTTCATTATTGCGTGAATGGTGTTTTCTAATAATAATAATAATAATAATAATAATAATAATAATAATAATAATATTAATAATAATAATAGTAATAATCATAATAATAATAATAATAGCTCACTTTGGAGCTTTGTGTGGGATGATGGATTCTAAGTGAGTATCCATCACAGACCAACATCAGTTGATAAGCCATTGTAAACCTGGAGCACTGAACAGGTGTTTCGTCCCACATTAGGACTTCACAGCTATGGGCACACACAACTTGACAATAGATGTGAAGCATTGTGTCCTGATGCAGTAACGCAAGAGTGGCGTGCTTACCACGAAACCTAGATGTCCTCAGTTCATTTGCTAGCAGAGTCAAGAGTCTGCTCCGCTTAGAGTCTAATGTTGGGATGGAGCATCTGTCGCTTGTCCCTGGTCATCTTGAAACTGTTGTCAGTCCTTGATGAATAGCTGCTTAAAATTGGTATCTAGCCGATTTATCCCTTTTCAAATTTGCAAAACGAATAATAGAGTTATTTCGAGGTTATATCCAAGGATTTGATCATTGAAAGCATCGCCGTATCAAGGTTTTATGCTTTTCAGGAATCATTACTTAGGTGGGTCCACAATCTTGAAAAACTCATATTCCCCTGGAGGCTCGAACACGCACAACGCCATGCTATTCAATCCATGACTGACACCTAGCATAACCGAAGTAAGTGCCTGAAATAACCACTAGACAGTAATCGAAAATGATATCAAGTGTTTATCTAAACCCATTTAGTTAAAAGAAGCAATATAGCAACACACTGTCTCATTATTTTCAATGATGTAATTTCGTGGCATAGTGTTTTTTGGTGGGAAACTAATCGCATTCATAAAGCAAACAGTGTATGTGTAAAGAAAAGGGTCTCTACTATAGCAAGTTTTGATATGAAACGAAGACGCAGAACCCTACATCACCAATGAAACATTCATCTGCGCTACTGACCACAGAATTTTCTAAATATAATTTATACTACTTGTGAGTAGCCAAATCTTTTTGATGTTTTAGCACCAAACACCATCACGTATTCATTTTTTTTCAACTGCATTAACAAAGAAACTTATCCCATATTGTAGAATTCGGAACCTTGCAAGATTTTAGGAAATATATCGAAAATACAGGTTCATATTTGATGTGTAACTTCCTGTGATGTAGAAAAAACATTGAAAAGGTAATCATCAATGATTAGCCCAACTACCACTTAGTTATTATTCCTTTATTTCCCCAGCATTGTCATTAACCATGAGAATATTTTTTAGTATGACATTGAGAAATATCTTGTTTTGACTCCGTAAACACTTTGAGATTATATTAAACTGTATTTTAACAATGATGAAATCAGACTCGAGGTTCATCTTCTTCCAGGACATTCGTAACAACACTATGATCTAGATGTTTATAATTTAATTTATATATATCAAACGGTATTGACTTTAAAATTAACTCATGAATAATAGTAGTCTTGTGATCTTTTGTTATAGGGCTCTGCGTGTACAGCACTTGTTGTCGCTGTAGTAGCACGAAAATTAGAATTGACAAGAGCTGAAAAACATGTACACAATTTTATGCAAGATAATAAATTTTATAAAAATGTAAGTATGAGAAATATTATTGTATTTAATATAATTTAACTATTATTTTTGCTTTTTTCAGATGTGATAATTAATTTTTTTCTTTTTCAAGGTCACTTTATTGAAACAATTTTCAGTACTTATTTTAAACTATTTGGCAACTCGTAAAAATTATTGTATATCCTAATCCCCATCAATAGACAACAACGACTGTTGTATTGAGTACAGATAGGTTTACGTGAGAATGATGATGTTCAGCTTCCTTTTTCTTTTATGTTCAGGTTGACAAAAGAATGAATTTTCAAGTAGATGAGATAAATTAAATTCTACTCTTTTCTTTTTTCTTATTAAGGTGATATTTAGCAACAGATGTTCGCCAGTATTGTACTCAAACTGACATACCTTTGCCTTATTCTATTTATAATAAACCCAAGTTATGAAATTTCACACTTAGATGGCGTGATATTTATATTCACTAATGTTTGAGTGATTAATGGTCTAGGTTCTCTTCTCGTTGGCACTCGTCATCAAAGCGTATGTGTAACCCTGATGAAACTGATAACTTTGTGGGATCCAAATCCACGTCACTCAATGATGGAGTCAGGGAAGCTGGAAGTAGAATAGAAGTCACTATTAATAAAAAACATTGAACCTTAACTGAAAATCTTAGTTGGTAAATATTCCAGAATGGAATATACTTGCTACCTGATATTCTACCTTTTTATCTCTAGAGCCTTCATCCGATGACTGTTATCATTTCACATGCTTTCTAATGTTGCACCATATACTACTAATATACTTACTTACAAGTCGAGTTCGTTTTTATTTTCTATGTGCTTTGAAGTTTCTTTGCCGATTAGATTGGTTTTACGGGGTAGGGTTGCTAGCCCTATGCCCAACCTTTCCTGTTTATCCGGACTTAGGACCGGCTAGTAACTGGTGAACTAGTTCACTAGGCGAGAAAGCCGATTATGGACATCATGCACCAGGATAGACTCTTGAGTGGAATCCAAAGGGGAAACTACGAGTTGGGCGTCCCAGCTGAGGGTGACATGGAGGAGATCATGTGAGGAAGAAATGTGGGCAGTGATGGAGCCAGCTTGAGAAGACTGTAGAGAAGCGAGTGGAATGGTTGCGTGCTACTGAAGCCCTATGTTCGACTAGAAACCCAATGGGAAAATAATAATATAATAAAATAATAGTTAGAGTTCACCACAAGATGAATTGTTAACTGCCTTTATTAGAAGAGAAAATGAACTGTTCTCATCGAAGACAATTACAACGACAATGAAACTTAATTCACTCAGTAGTCTATCAAAAGTTTTCCATCCAATAGGTCATATTAGATTTCTCCATTCAGATATCATTAGTATGAAGATAACTACGCAACTTTGACATATCCTTACCTTTATTATTTATTATTTGTCCCTTGGGTTCCTAGTGGAATATAGGGCTTTAGTAGCACGTCTCGATTGCACTCTGTTCTCTGAAGTATTTTGAACCTGGTTCACGAGATATCCTTTACACTATCCTAATATCCTCGCCAACTTTGTGATGAAATGGATAATATGATTTTTCACATATCCGGAAAAAAAGTTCAGAGTCATTACTATTCCTGCATGTATTACGTGTTGATTCGGTAAACAAAGATTCTGTCATCAAGTCTCTCCCTCCACACTGTTATCCCCGTTTTAAAGATTTTCACTCTGTCCCATCCTACACACCTATCATCCAGCTATTCTATACATTCCCTATCTTACAAGGAACTAAGAATTCTGATATGGGTAGTTTTTGTGCTCGGAGAGTGCAGTTGATAATGGTCAACTACTTTCACAGAGGAATTCTACTTCCCAATCCACTTAAGCTATTTCTTGGTAAACTAAACTATTTTGATTAATTCGATCAATAGTATATTCCAGCTTACTAAGCTTATTTCGAAGTCAGTTTGTAGGTTGAAATGCTAGTCACTACAATCGCAGCCAGCCTTACTCACAATCCTACATAGTGTTTCTGAGTTGCCTTCCCTGTGTGGAAATACTCTACCAGTTTTGAATTGTCTCTTCATAGTATTCCCACTACTTATGTCAACATTATTATCACTACCACTAACATCTGTTTTACTAACATTTATCTTATGATTCCTAAGGAATGTATCAATTAATTTTGGAGGACGATTGCTGATGAGTACAGTGTCCTTAATGTATCTGATATAAGCAGTTGGAGGTGACGTGAACTGGGTACTTGTCTACTTACGACTGTGTTAGTGAGCATAATGTATTGTAAACTGAGATCAGTCTGGTAGCAGGGAAGCTCCTTCTCAGTGCAGCTTTTATTCTTGCGTCTATTATTTCAGATGTCTCATCATCTTTGAATGTTAGACGAAGGAAAACAAGCTTCTTCTAAGCAGTTGAATGTTTGGGTCACCTAATAAATTCTTTTCCATGCTTCATGTTGAATTTCTTCAGATATCCATTCTCTATAACAGCCATCTCAGTGATATTGACTTCTTCTTGATGTTTATCTTTAAAGTACAACGTTTTTATTCTAGTGAATAGCATCCTGACTAAACTACACTTATATCTGACAAGACAGAAGCGATCATAGTGAAGGTACTGACCAATCCACATGTCTTTTCTGTTAATATTTTTCTTCACTGTATTGTTTAACTTTGTCAATGGAACTAAATACATGAAATTAGTTTTAATTTATCCCTAGTTTTTGCATACTAACAGTAAAAGACTTTCCACTGTTACCAAATTCTGTGATGAAGATTTTGGGGATGTATTGATCTCAAGGTGATATTCTAGTTAAGCAGCTATGTACATCCACTTTCTCCTGTATACTCAATACAAATTATTTAACATAAAGATATCAGTTATGTCACTGAGCAAATATATTAACATGAAACTTTTCTGATAACTTTCTTTACTTTAACAGTTGAGACATTCAGCGGCAAATGTTTTACGTGAAACTTGGCTATTCTATAAGTATACAAGACTTGTAAAACGTGTTAAACCAGCCAGAGTGCGAAGACATCAAAGAAAATTTTTGACAGCTATAAGCAGGTGAGCTAAAAGAAAATGCACTTCTGTATGCAGTTTTATAAACATGGGAGCACTAGACAGGTGTTTCGTCCTAGCATGCGACTCCTCAGCAGTGCGCACCCATGACCCCGCCGGGGATCGAACACGCGACCTTCGGGTCCCGTGGCCAGCACATTACCATTGAGCCTGACACTGGGTCACAATCCAATCGTCCATATTTCCAACTTCTGTTAGTTCAAGATACAGAGCAACTGATCGCGGGTGCGCACTGCTGAGGAGTCCCATTCCAGGACGAAACAGCTGTCCAGTGCTCCAAGGTTTCCTTTGTTCCTCCAACTGATATCAGTCTACGATGAATAACAATTTAAAATATTTCCAAATCCCCACAACTCCCTCAAAATTCAATTTTATAAACTTTAAAAATAAATAATATGCTATACCACTGAAAGTTTTACATATGAGTGGAAAAGTTAGAGAATATTGATGAATGGATGTTTACAAGTGTCTGAAACCTTTAAAATGGTGTACTTCCTTGATCTATCAGAGAATATTATTCTTAAAACCATTAACTTTCACCAATGATACATAAATAGATGAATTACTTCAACTCATCTTTTCTAAAGTGAGTTGTATGCTGAGAAGTGAACAGTTAGCAGTTACCTGTTCATTCAACAGCTTTCTAAAGGATACAATGGAGGAAATGGGGATATAATATGATGAAAAATCTTTCAGACGAACTTGTATGATGGAGTTATACTAACTCATCTCGATGACTAACACTGGGATCTAGCCAGCGTGTTTCCTTCTATCTGCGACTCATTTGTCAGCTGGATGGACCTAGTACCCATTGTTTCAAATGCCACTTGGCCACTGTTAGAGTTTCAATTTGTTTTGAGGATAATTATTGGTATAAAACACTTGACAAAGAAGTGAAGAAGAGTGAGCGCAAAGATAAAAGACACTTGCACGACACACTGGCAAGTGAAGCAGAACAGGTTGCTGGTAGGACAGACCTAACCACATTGTATCAAATAACCAGGGTACTATTTGGGAAGAGATCAACTGAGATGAAACCAACAAAAGATGATGGAAATTTAATTACCAAAGAGGAGAAACAAAGGAAACAATGGGCCGACCACTTCAAAAAGCTCTTGAATCGACCACTACCACCACTTGCACTTCGTCCAGAAATACCACCTGAAGCCCAGCTACAGAACTACCAGTGAACACAAATCCTCCAACAAAATTCGAAGTCCTGAACGCCATAAAGCTACTCAAATGCGGGAAAGCAGCAGGATCACATAAAATCCCGCCAGAAGCACTAAGAGTAGACGCGGAGACAACAGTGGACATGCTCACACCACTATTGCAGAAGGTCTTTAAGGAGGGAAGGTACATGGTGATTGGAAGGAGGGCTGCCTTGTAAAACTCTTAAACAAGGGAGACCTCAGTGTTTGCAAGAACTGGCGCGGAATCACGCTCCTGTCCATCCCGAACAAAATATTAAGCTGCATCATCCTGCAGAGACTAAAGGACACACTGGATTCAAAACTACAACCGGAACAGGCTGGCTGGATTCAGGAAGTACAAATCATATGCGGACCAAATTGCAATGCTACACTACGCGTCATCATAGAACACAGTATAGAATGGAAGTCAACTCAACTCTACCTCAACTTCATCGACTTTGAAAAGGTATTCGATAGCGTCAATGGAGAAGCAATTTGGAATCTGCTTCAATACTACGGAATACCGCAAACCTTAATCAGCCTCATTCAACAACTATATGAACACACTATATGCCAAGTAATTCACAATGAGAAGCTCAGTCATGCTTTTGAAGTGAAGACAGGAGTGAAACAAGGCTGCCGCCTACTATCACCCATGATATTCCTGATTGTGGTCGACTGGATCATGCAACAAACTGTGAGGAGCCAGAAGAGGGGGATACACTAGCTGGACTGCGGAAAAGAACCTAGAAGACCTGAATTTTGCCGATGACTTGTGTCTGATGTCACACAAACTTGAAGATCTACAGGCGAAAACTAACAAGTTGTCAGAAGAGGCGAGGCAGGGCAGCGAAGACAGGACTTCCTTCAAGTGAATGTAGAGAAGACAGAGGTATAGGTGATGAAGATACCCAACTAACATCACCACCAACAACAACAACAAGCTCCAATCACCATCAACGGTGGAAACTTGAACGAAGTAGCCTCCTTCACCTATCTGGGCAGCACTGTCTCAACTACAGGTAGCAGCACTGACACAGACGAGGATGTCAAAGCCAGTCAGGATCCGAAAGACAACAAGACAGGTGTTGATTAGCCTGAAACCAGTGTGGAGATCTACTGCACTACACTCAGCATAAGGCGTGAACAAGGTGCGGATTTTCAACACCAACATCAAGTCAGTGCTCCTGTATGATTGAGAGACTTGTTGCGTTATGAAAGGCATTTCCAACAAACTACAGACATTCATGAACAACTGCCACCTACACTGGCTCACTACTGGATATCAGATGGCCAGAATAATAAGAATAAGCAAGGTGGAACTCTGTCCGGGTAACGAATGAACCAACCAAGAAGCTATCGCTGAACAAATATGTAGTGTAAGGAAGTGGAGATGGATTGTATAAGGCATACACTGAGAAGGTCGACTGGGAACATCACTTGCCATGCCAGTTGCTCGAGTAGAACCCAGATGGGAAGCGATGAGTTGGGCTTCTCAGTTGAGAGTGATATGGATGAGATCTTGTGAGGAAGAAATGAGATCTTCTGGGCTGTTGTGGAGCCAGGTTGAAAAGATTTCAGAGAAGAGAGTGGAATGGAGACGTTCTACTGAAGCCCTTTTTTCCATTAGGAACCCAAAGGACAAATAATATTAGTAATTGGTTTGGTCTTCCGTTGTCAGTTCTGGCAATCATTACTTACCTACGAGAACCTTATAAAAGCAGCCAGATATCTTCATGTAAATTTTCATCGCTGCAAATGTTTTTCACTTCTTAGTTTACTTTACTCTTGAGGGGCAATAAAAACAGTTTTTTGCATATGAATGCAGAATATGAGGACTTAAATCTTCGAAGGGAGATTTCGTCAAATTCTTCTGAGTTGTGATCTGAGGAAGAAACCAAGTTGAATGTAAGGACAACTATTCAGAGATGGAATTGCATACTAATTGCACTATATGACCAATCGCCAGAAGTGGGAAAATGTGGACTCCTGGTCTTCTACCAAATGGCTCAGTGATAATGTACTAGCCTCAGGACCTGAAGGCCCTGGGGTTCGCTCTTGAGAACTGCAAACCCCTGAGTAATTACTTGCCACAACAGGAGAGTCGTTCACTTGAAATCTATGAAGTCCCACAGACCTTCAATTTGAACTAAGAAAACTTAATATATGCATACTTTTCATTTTGCGTTACAATACCGAACTGTACCAATGAACCTATTTTCACATACAAGCTCCTATGGAGATGTTATGATGTGGTCTGAAGATTCATTGTGTTACAATTTAGCTGATGGTGGATTTCAGTGAAAATTAGGCAGCACGTTTCTTCCGAGTTCAGACTTTTCAGTGGAGATACCAGCACTCACTGGAATCCAAGTACATCCAGCCAACGTGTGTTAAATGGGACGAAACGACGATATACGCATAATTTTAACTGAGAAACTGTAACATCAAAACTATGCTTTACCCGTCCCACAAAGAGGACTCTCATGCCTCGGTAGAACAGCGAATAACTCTTTGGCATTCGAAACGATTTGTCCTAGACTCCAACCTTAGAATGAAGAAGATACCTCACTGGAAGTCATGTGTCCTCACATGACCAGTCTCATCTAGGAGAAAACACGAATCTTGGAACCCATCAACAGCTGTTAACGTGAGTTGACCTTCGGTGATAAAAAAATAACCAAGTGTACGGAACAAAACTTTGTGCAGATGATGAGCGTAATAAGTGAAAGATGCACAAAACATGACTTAGCAATAAGAACTGCATGAATTGGCTCGAAGAAGACATCCTGTGATCAACGAAAGGAAAAAGCAAGTCACGGAAACTGTTGTTCATACTGTAGTAAAAGTAACGAAATTACTAGCCAGAATAGTTATGGAGACAGAAGTCCTACAAAAAGCCTAGTTGGGCCCTGAATAACTCAGTGGAAACGTAGCGGGTTCTAATCTCAGGCTTGGCATCCCTTCCTTTGAGGTTTCAGATATGCTGTGTTGACGAGTGCCAGCAAGCATGAAACTCAGGTCAGGCAGGGCTTCCTGTCGATTGCCTCCAACGAATTAACATCTACCAATGTGCACTGTAAGGCTGAGTCCCCTAACTTCGTGGCCGACATTACAAAAATGATCGTTAGAATTCTGTCAGCACATAAGACTAGACAACGTGGAGTTGTGTTCTCTCCGATGGCCAACTATTGTGTGTAACCCATTCTCGCATGGGGTAGATCACAGCCCGAGTAGCTCAGTGGTCACATCTCCGACAGCAACACTAGGTAGTGCGGCTTCCAACCTCAAACACGGGATCACCCCCGTTGAAGTTACAGATACACCTTGCTGACGACTGCCAAAAAGCTAGAAACCGAGGTTCAGCAGGAACCAGCCACCTATCGATTGCTTTCATGCATCTAACACACTTAAATACAACTCTTGAGGGTCGATAGTAGACAAGATTTAATATTAGAGTTTTAAGCAGACACCATTCAATGTATTCATTTTTTTTACAACCTTGTTTTTCAAACAAACACTTACAGGCTAAGAAAGGCGAAAGATAGTCAAAGGAAGCTGAAAGAAGAAGCTAATTCAATGGTAGATTTAGCTAAAGTAAGTTGATTACTATAAATATTAAAAGTAATTGATTCACAGTTGGCAATATACGTTTTTAAGTAAAATACGTTGATTACCGCTTGCTGAACACTTCTCGTAGAATATCCAGCTCACTAGGAGGTTATTTGAGGCCTGAATAACTTGCTGGTTAAGTCATTGACCTCAGAAATGAATGATACAAATTTGAATGACTGAAGAAACATCAGTTGTCTCATACATGTAGGAAAGTCTAGGCGATAAGTGCCACTAAGCAAGAAATGCTGATGGAACACGGATGTATTCCCAGTCCCTCCAATCATCTAGCACTAAAGTATCGAAATTATCAGATCACTAGTGATTCTCTTTTCATGTACATATTCCCTTTTATGAATTGAATACAGACAAAATAACAACTGAAGCAGAATAACATGGTATCATTTTATTAGGCCCGGATACCTGGTCAGCTGGTCACAATAGCTGAACACTGAAGTGTCGTTTCATAAACGCATTTGTTACTATTCTCTTCCAGTTAAGGGAAACTAGTTAGTTAGTTAGTTAGTTAGTTAGTTAGCTAGTTAGTTAGTTAGTTAGTTAGTTAGTTAGTTAGTTAGTTAGTTAGTTAGTTAGTTAGTTAGCTAGTTAGTTAGTTAGTTAGTTAGTTAGTTAGTTAGTTAGTTAGTTGGTTAGTTAGTTAGCTAGTTAGTTAGTTAGTTAGTTGGTTAGTTAGTTAGTTAGTTAGTTAGTTAGTTGGTTAGTTAGTTAGTTAGTTAGTTAGTTAGTTAGTTAGCTAGTTAGTTAGTTAGTTAGTTAGTTAGCTAGTTAGTTAGTTAGTTAGTTAGTTAGTTAGTTAGCTAGTTAGTTAGTTAGTTAGTTAGTTAGTTAGTTGGTTAGTTAGTTAGTTAGTTAGTTAGTTAGTTAGTTAGTTAGTTAGTTAGTTAGTTAGTTAGTTAGTTAGTTAGTTAGTTAGTTAGTTAGTTAGTTAGTTAGTTAGTTAGTTAGTTAGTTAGTTAGTTAGTTAGTTAGTTAGTTAGTTAGTTAGTTAGTTAGTTAGTTAGTTAGTTAGTTAGTTAGTTAGTTAGTTAGTTAGTTAGTTAGTTAGTTAGTTAGTTAGTTAGTTAGTTAGTTAGTTAGTTAGTTAGTTAGTTAGTTAGTTAGTTAGTTAGTTAGTTAGTTAGTTAGTTAGTTAGTTAGTTAGTTAGTTAGTTAGTTAGTTAGTTAGTTAGTTAGTTAGTTAGTTAGTTAGTTAGTTAGTTAGTTAGTTAGTTAGTTAGTTAGTTAGTTAGTTAGTTAGTTAGTTAGTTAGTTAGTTAGTTAGTTAGTTAGTTAGTTAGTTAGTTAGTTAGTTAGTTAGTTAGTTAGTTAGTTAGTTAGTTAGTTAGTTAGTTAGTTAGTTAGTTAGTTAGTTAGTTAGTTAGTTAGTTAGTTAGTTAGTTAGTTAGTTAGTTAGTTAGTTAGTTAGTTAGTTAGTTAGTTAGTTAGTTAGTTAGTTAGTTAGTTAGTTAGTTAGTTAGTTAGTTAGTTAGTTAGTTAGTTAGTTAGTTAGTTAGTTAGTTAGTTAGTTAGTTAGTTAGTTAGTTAGTTAGTTAGTTAGTTAGTTAGTTAGTTAGTTAGTTAGTTAGTTAGTTAGTTAGTTAGTTAGTTAGTTAGTTAACGAAGAATTTTATGTTTAAATGAAGAATACGAAAATCCGGTACAGTTAACAAGACATGCTGAGAAGTTTCATTTTCGTGCGTCATTCAGGACAGAATTCAAGCAAATAATATGAGTAGTAACAAAGGATGATATCAGAAGATGAACAATTCGTCTAGGTGACGGCCGATAACAGATAAATTATATAATAATTATTATTAATTGATATGCTTGTACTTCTCCATTGTTTTACTGGATAAAAATGTTCTACATCTGTTGACATATGGGCTCCTATGCGGATCCCTCGATATTGCCCAAATCAAATTTCAAACTATAGGTATGAGGTTCGAGTTTCAGTAGGAACAACATGACTCAGCACTGAGGTGCAGGTACATGCGGCTGTCGAGTCCGAAATAGGACGAAATGCGCGTCCTGGATTCTTCTGCTAGCCACAATCAAATAAATTACCAAAATTATGTAATAATAACATAATAAGCTGATTTTTGTTGCTAGAAGGATCATTAAAGTTATGTACAAACAGAAAAATGATTCAGTCGGCAGATGATGTCATGTAATTAGAGGAAGAGTAAAATATTAGGTTACCAGGGCGAAAAAAGACTGATCACTGCTTCTTTTCGAGCACAGAATTCTGGTTTCAGTCATCTGATCACTACGGAATTAACAAAACTGAGATGGTTTAAATTATGGTGTCCGCAGATTACGTGTCAAGTGTCCCTTACGACTGTACTACTGTGAGCCCTTATTCCCATTGGACGTAAGCTTTTTGATACGTGTTGAAAGAATATAAGGTACCCCTTTCTGTTTCTTCTTCCGATGTGACTGCTACCAAAGATACACGCTAAATTTTGTACACACAATTAAAGGTAACATGGGAAGGGAACTTGTCAACTTTTGATTGTACCATACAGCATGTTATCCTGTAGGATACGACTCAACTTCGCTGCAGGATATGTCCCGTTCAGTGCAGTTCTTCTAGAGACATATTCACCCTTAAAGTTGAGTTGAGTAAAAACAGGCTTCTTGGTCAGCGTAAACGTACTGACTTCACATTTATTGGTAAACTTCTATGGACAACCGGTGCTTAGCAAGATTTTCTCAATTATCAGCAAATCTTCTGGCAGTTCATCATTTTAAAAAATTCTTCTGACTTTGTATAATAGTGTTCTAATGGTTGCTTTTTAATAGCCGAATAGACAGAAGCTGTCAGAATTTAAGTATAGTCCATTTCAAGTATCTTTTCAATGAATGAACGTTTAAAGTGTAAGATCCTTTCTGAAAATCTGAACTTACCATTGTTTTGATGTTTCATACCAAAGTCAATGCCTTCAAAAGCATGACATAAGTCATTGTACACAATAAATATGTTTTCGATATATCTAGAATGAGGTCATTTCTTCAGCTAGCATGATTAAATGTTGTCTTCTTTGGGTTAGCTAACCATTATCATCCTCAAAATGAGAATGATGTTGAATTGATATTCTCTGAGCTTTGGTAACTCATTATGGACATTTTATCACTAGGCTTGCTTACAGTCTGAACATAGTCATAAGTAACCTCCTTGGTGGCTAGCGGTGAAGTTCAGAACGTATGTTTCATTCCATTTGGGACTCGTCAGCTGTGCGTACCTGCGCCCCAGTAACTGACGGTGTATCCACTGAGACTCGAACCCATTTTCCATTAGGGCCAGTGAAGCATTGGAGCTACCTACTGTACAACGGGTATCAGTTACAGTTTACTGATAAACGTAATCTGCCGTTTTTATACTGGATCGAACTCTTCGACTTCTGTTGGCATATGGGCTCTTTTGCTGACACTATGACACTATCTAAATATTCTGCCCGACACCAAAATAATATCGAAACTTGGAGCATGAATGTAGTACGAAATATGCTACTTAATTGTATGAGTAGTTGTTGACCTCTCAGGTCGATCTTTGGTGCCCCTTAGTCAGATAACGGTTATATGAACGCTGAATAGACTTTCCACTGGTGTACAGCTAGACTCATCAGCAGTGTACCAGGACTGTTGTTAGCGCTTCCATTGGACGATAAAGAAAGAGAACTATTGAATTCTTTAGAGTAAATGAAATAACTATGATGAGGTTGTCACTAAAAACGCTTTTCAACATATATTGCAAAAACGACACTATGGTTACATGATTCCTGTTATAGAGCACAACAGACTAGTCTATTCTATCATGGAAATGTAGCACAAAGTAGATTCTGTTCATCTTAAGGGCTAAACTGCATAACTTTGTCTGATTGAAACGGTCTTCAGTAGGTAGTTTCCACTATTCAGCCTTAAGGTTGAACTTGCAAGTGCTTGGTCTCGAATATACTTATCCAATCTTATTTATTCAATCCACCCACCCACACGATGAGTCATCCCATACAACCGCATACAACAGAACGCAAAATCTAGTGCTTATTGTCCATACCTCTTTCAGGTGATCTGTTTCACTTGCATGTATACACTACCGAATAGTCTGCCTTAACGCACCATAATTTATGAAGGAGATAAAACAACCGATTTCAAGAACAAACAATGAGATAGTTAATTCACAATATAGTAATAACATCTGAACAACAATGAGTCATGCATATAAGTGGATGAGGAGGGGGGGATCAGTCGAAAACTTCTGAACCGAGTGAGCTATGCGATAAGTTTATGAGTAACTAAGTCATAACTAAAACGGCTTTTAAAATGAATAAAACAACACATGGTATTTCCCCCCTTCTCGGTCTATACAAAACTCCCCTTTTTTTGAAGGGTCACTATGATCTTCTTCGAGGTAGTGTCAATTTTCTCTCTATGAATATTCCATTCCATTGAGACTCTGTATCTGTTTCTTCTCTCCTATAATCCAGTTGCATGTTAGAGTTTCATTTACTTCATTCCAGGTAGTTGTGTCACCGATAACCACACTTGCATTCTTTTATCCTCCTGCTAACATGTCACTAGTAATTAGGTTGCAGGGGGGGGGGGTCAAATTATTTACCAATTACCTACTTCATGTTTACTTTTATATCGCCATTTTTTTCTCATCCTAGTTTCTTTTTTGTTTGTTTTTGTCTTTCAACCGAAAAAAAACGAACAATTTCAGTTGCAGACAAGCATCTATGATACTGTGAATTATATTCGAGCAGATCAGACAATTTTCGTTCAACGTCTAGTCGCAGTTGAAAAGTGCATGTCGTCGATTCAGGTAGATTATTTTTATGAATCTGAATAATTATATATATATATATATATATATATATATATATATATATATATATATCAGGTGGAAAGCCATTGAAAAGCTTGGAGCATTGGGCAGCTGTTCCGTCCTACCATTGGACTCCTCAGCAGCACACTCCCAAGACCCTCCTCCACCCGCCTCGCCAGGGATTGGATTCAAGACCTAAAGGTCTCACGGAGACTGTGTCAACCATTCAGCCACTAGGTTGGAGTTCAATAATTGACAGTTTTCTACTTCTGTTTTGCCTTATAATAGGTCTTCTCAGCAGAAAGCACCCATGACTCTGCCCTACCAAAGATCCAATCTGGAATTTTCAGGTATCATGGCAACCACGTTAACTACTCAGCCAATCAGTTCACAGTTTCCAACTTCTATCAGTACCACTGTTAACAACCTTAAAAATAAAATCCCTATAAACTTTATATGTATACATATATATATGCATATGCTCGATAAGTGATGGAAATGTTTGAAATAAACTTAGAATTTGAAGTTTGAAGTAACCGCCCTAACCATATTTGTGAGGGTCAAGTTGATAAAGAGAAGTAAAACAAGCTCATTCATCTAATTGGTTCTTTATACGCTACATCGAAAATAAAGCTGATACATCAATGGAATCAAATGAATCTATTCAGAATTAGACAGCTGTTAGCCTGATTATCAGATAGTCCACAATATCTGCATCTCCTAGGGGAATTATTCGAGTGATACCATCTTCTCTAAGCTTGGTGGTGTAGCCATGAAGCTTTTTTAGCCATTTTACATAGCATTCTTATCTGCATAACCATCAGAAAGAAGATAGCTTTAGAAATTTGCTCATTACAAAATAAATGACGTTTCCTGGTAACCCAGGTTATGATTGGTGGTTTTCATGCTTTCGTTGTCATTATTTAAAGGCGTATTTTGATCGGTTGCCTTGTTGGTTGTCCTCTACCTGTTTCTGATGTTGTTTACTTGACGACAATCCATATATTTATGCATATTTCCTTCCTGATTATTGACTAATCTGAGTGATATTTTCCGGAGATCCTCGTAACGTAATTACGTTTTTGCAAAGAAATTTAAGTCTTGTATTGTCCACAATTATTGAAGTGTGTTATATTCACGTCAGGATGTTTAACACCCAATTTGACGAAGATAAAGCGAACGGTAACTGTCTCCATTAGAATCTTTCCCCCAGTTGTCGAAGTTTATTCTGGAAGTTTTATTTATTTATTTTCCTAGTCATTTCCTTTGTCTGAAGAGATTTTTTTGGCTTTACGAGCAGTCATCACTAAGAAAGGCTTCAAAAGACTGATCACAACCTTCCAAACTTTATTCCTAAAAAGTGGAAAGAGCTGTCTACTGGCTCCTCAGGATAATTTTCAAAGTGCCATAGATTTGACGAATATCTTTTGATGAAACTGTCTGGAGGAATTCGTCAGCATTCGTTGAGGCTCAGTTCCTTAAATTCATCACTGACAGATGGAAGTTTGAATCCTCAAAGAAGTACTGGGACTATTGGTTACAGATAAGGCTATCCTGACAAACACCAACCTAGTTGAGGCATGACTTTCTTTCGATTAACTTCTTACACCTAACACCGAAAGCTTGTAGATTGTCCTAATTGATGGGGTTACGAATTAGGAACTGTCGTTATACGCTCACAACACTTCGACACATGTCAATCTATAATGACCACTGGAAATACTATCCCCAAACTACTGAAAGACATGGGGTAAGAATCTGAGACGGCAAGATTTATGGCTCCGAAAAAGGGCAAAAGCTGGTTGAAGCTATAACTTTATAAAGTTATTTTACTGAACCAATCATTACCAAGTGAAATTTGGAGACATTGTCTTCTCAGGTACTCATTTATTATATTATTTATTATTATTAGTCCCCTGGGTTCCTAATGGAAAAAAGGGCTTCAGTAGCACGTCTCCATCCCACTCTGTTCTCTGAAATCTTTTCAACCTGGCTCCACCACTGACCACAAGCTCTCATTTCCTCCTCGCACGATCTCCTTCACGTCACCCTCATCTTCACATTTCACATGGAAAACACTGACCAATCAGCTGCCAGTCTGTCTGTCTAACAACCTATCTATCCACCGAATCTAACAAGTTTGTCGTGAATTAACTTTTAGTCAACTCTGTGCGGTAGGTTTTTGTATACATACTAAAGTAACAGTTGAAGATATTCTGAGTCGATCGGTGGGAAGGCTTTGCCAACCCAAGTGTAATGTTGTTGGTTGTGTTGCGTTCTCTAAGCTGGTTGGTTTATTCGATAACATCACCAATACTTACTTCAGTATGAAATAGGGTATCAGGTTATTTTGGTGTCTCAGTAGTTTACCCTGACAAACTGGGTTTTTTTTAATTGTTGTCACTGACTGCAAAGATTTTATTATTGGTAGTTTCTGAGACTGATCTCTGACCTTCTAGTTGTAGGCTACTTTCTCATTGATTGACAGATTGGGTCTATGTCTATACATTTATTGATTGGTGACTGACCTCAATTTCAAGCTTCTACGAACTCTTTGATATTCTTCGTGTTTTCTCCCTGTCTAAGATTCCTGTATTTTCAAACTTGAATTCGTGTTCATAGGTGAAAAGAGGTGAAGAGAATGATCACGATCATTACAGTTGTCTTTGTAAATGGTATTCGGTTTGTCTTCGTTGGGTGTTACATCCTTTGGTCTGCATAATATGGTTTGAAGGTAACTGGTTGGTTTATGACCCACACCAATTCCAAGTGATCTCAGTAATTTTGTCGTGATCTCTGGTATATTCGTTATGTACAGTAGCATGATGAGTTAATTGATTTTTGTCGATGACTTTGCAATTGGTAATGAGCGCGATAAATATCTTCTGATGGAGCTTCATGGGTAACCGCTGTTCTGTAGGATAGATATCAAGTAATTAACTTCGTTTCTCCATGAGCCCTTGTCCTCAAGTGTGTTCTTGCTCTTTTGAATCGAGTGTATACGTGACAAATTTTGCCTATTGACTGCTTGTTGCTAACCGAAAAAATTTTAAACTGTGTCTACTAAACTTGATCTGTGTTGATTACTGAGGAGTTCACGCATACCTCATTTATCATTCGCTGACCAATATGTGTAAACAATGTGGATTTATTTAGTTATAACTTGTGAAATTTATATAACTCATACTCATAAACAGTAAGAACATTAGTATTATTATTATTGTTTATTGCTCCCTTGAAACATAGGTTTCAGTAGCATATCGCTATCTCACTCTATTCTCTGCAGTCTTCTCAACTTGACTCCACCACTACCCACAACCTTTCATTTCTTCCTCACATGATCTCCACAATGTTACCCTCATCTGGGACGCCCAACTCGTCCTTTCCCATGCGGGTTCCACTCAACAACCTGATCTGGTCTGATGCCTGATGTCCCCAAACGGTCTTCTCAGTGTATGTCTAATCCATTCCATCTCCACTTTCCTCTGCATATTTGTTGGGCGATAGTTTCCTGGTTGGTTGGTTCATTGACAGGCAGCCAGCTGGCCAGCCAGCCAGAGTTACACCTTGCTTATTCTTATTATACTGGCCATCTGATCTGATCTTCAGTATCAAGTGAGCACAGGCGGAAGCCGTTGATGGATGACTGTAGTTTGTTGGAAATGGTTTTCATAACGCGTCAACTTTCACAACCATCATATAGAAGCACTGACTTGAGATTGATGTTGGAAATCCGGATCTCGATCGTGCCTTATGCTGAGTGGACTGGAGTAGATCTCCACACTGATTATTTCAGATTAGTGAAGACCTGTCTTGCTATATTCATGATCCTGGCTTTGACGTTGTCATGTGTGCAGCTGCCTGTAGTTGGAACGATTCTGCCTAGGTAAGTGAGGTAGGTAGAAGATACAACTTCCTTTGGATTTCTCCCGTTGATGGTGATTGGTGCTTGTTGTTGTTGTTGTTGTTTGTGACAGTTGGCTATCTTGATCACCTCTGTCTTCTCTACGTTCACCTGTATGGAGTTCCGTGTTCGCTACTGTGTCTCTTGTGTCAACTTGTTAGTTTCTGCTTGTAGATCTTCGAGTCTGTGCGACAAGACATTAGACATAAATGATCATCGACGAAATGCAAATCTTTTAGGATCTTTTCATCGGTCGAGCTAGCGTATGCCCCTCTTCTCGCTCCTCACAGTTTGTTGTATAATCCAGTCAAATCTAGTCGACCACAGTCAGAAGATCATCGGTGATATTAGGCAGCCTTGTCTTACTCTTGTCTCCTGACTTCACTTCGAAGGTGGGAATTAGCTTTCCATTGTGAGGTACTTGGCTTGTGGCTTTTTCATATAATTGTTGAATGAGATTGATAAGGGTTTGTGGCAATGCGTAGTATTGAAATAGCTGCCAAATTACTTCTAATTCGACGCTGTCGGAGGTCTTTTCAAAGTCAATGAAGTTGAGGTTTAGTTGAGTTGACTGACATTCTATACTCTGTTCTATGATGATGCGTAGCGTTGCGATTTGATCCATAGGTGATTTGTTCTTCCTGAATCCAGCCAGCCTGTTCCGGTCGTAGTTTTGAATCCAGCGCATCTTTCAGTCTCTGCAGGATGATGCGGCTTAATATTTTGGTTGGGATGGACAACAGCATGATTCCGCGCCAGTTCTTGCAAAGACTTAGGTCACCCTTCTTTGGGAGTTTTACAAGGTAACCCTTCTTCCAAACTTTAGGTCCCTTTCCTTCCTTCCTTACAAACCTTGTGCAATAGTGGTGTGAGCATGTCCACTGATGTCTCTGAGTCTGTTTTCAGTGCTTCTGGTGGAATTCCATCTGGTTCTGCTGCTTTCCTGGCTTTCAACAATTCTATGGCTTTCAGGACTTCTACTTTGTTAGGAGCTTTATGTTCAGTAATAGTTCTGTCGCTTTAAACTCTGTCTTCTAATTTCAACAAAATACGGGATCTTAGGAGCTACAATATACCATGGTGTAAGTTCAAGTTTTCGATTTAGATTAATATGTGAACGATTTTACTGAAATAATCTTAAATAATAATCAATAAATCTAACTGGTATTTTTCTTTCTCTTTTATCTCTCTACCCGCTTATCTGCCAACAGGCTTATGTAAATCAAATGTCAGACACCTTCACAGGGATTATTGATACACTTGGTACATGCAGTAGTACTACAGTTCCACTAGAAGATGAAGCATTGGCTAAAATCAATTTATCCCCGCAGCCAACACAGCCAACACAACAGTTGTCAAGTTCCAATGAATCTTTGAAAGGCTAATACAGAGTACAATACATGATGGACTGCATTATTTGTTGACAATGCGCCTATTCCCCATCCCCACTTCTAATTTATTTCACCAGTTGACAAGTTTCATTTCCCAAATAACTGATCTGTACATACCTAGAATACTTAAGTTAGATTGTTTAAAGATATTGCTGCACCTAAATTTCAGTACCATCATCATCATCGTAACCATCATTGGGATATTTTGTACGTCTACACATACACCCTTATGTCTGATATCCATCAATCTATCTTTCATCTTGAACGAACGACATATGACTCTTTCTCTCTTTCTCCCCCCTTCTATGAAACACTTGATGAGCCTATTTTTCTAATTGGAAACACCTATCCCCCCCCCCCCTCCTGAATGCCTTGAATGGATTTATAATTTGATTTAAAATCTAAGTTAAACAGCATAAAACGTTCAATTTTCCTTTAGCATTTTCTACCCGAAAACTTTCCACTTGAATCTTAGTCAACCACACACCACACACACTCATTTTTTTAGACACTTCAATATTTCACTGATTTCAATTATCACGTGAACTGATTGTCCTTTATCTTCCTTAAACATGTCTGTTTCAATGTTTCAATGTTTAGTTTGTTTAAGTGTGTCATCGATACATTGTCTTTTCTGGGTGAAAATTTGTATTTCTTTTTACTTTCTTTCTTTCTAGTTTTTTCTGAAACCTTAATTTTATTCCACTTGTAACAGAAAAGAAAGAGAAGAGAGTAATAACTATTATTCAACTATTATTTAGAATTGCTTCCCGTGTACATATATTGACTGAGTGAAGTATGATGAGAATAAAATTAGATTTTTGGGACACATTGTGCATGTATTAATTCTGTAAACAAGTGGGTTTGCTTGCTAAGAAATGTCATCATTTATGCCTGCAGTAATCATCCAACCAGTGTCCCTCACTCCTCCCCATCCACAGCATACAGCAAGCCTCTGAAAGAGATTTTTTTCAATGATAATAAAACTATCTACCATATACTATCCATAGTGACACTGACATTTCTCGATGACAGATCTTTGAAACGAGAATATCCTTAGGGATACTGAATCTTCCTTTGAAACCTATTTGCTTAAATTAATTACATTGCATTCTAGTCGATAATATATTCACGCGAAGATAACTTGATACTTTCTGTTGTCAGGTTATGTATGCAAATGGGATAAGTAGCAGTTAATGGAACGATACAAACTAACTTTAGTGACAGGAAAGCTTGATGATGACCAATCAGGATGGAGATGCTCCACACAAGGTCACTCGTTACATCGGTTCACCATGATGTTGACGCCTAATAAACCTCTGGTGAATTATAACCAAGATTATGTTGTTGGTTATTTGCAAAGTCGGATCGTTTACGATAAGCCTAACTTGTGAATGTGGTGTTGTAATGTATTCTGTATCTAACAGTGAGAAAAGAGATGATTTCATCTTTCGAGATCCCAGCTGTTAGAAGAATAGATTTTTAAGAACAGAATCTCTTCTCAAAGGATCTCATATAACTCTCCAACAAATAATGATTTTAATAGTATATTGGGTTGCTGAAACACCCATAATATCAGCAGGAGCTCTGATAGATTTTTAGTGAAGTTTCGTCAGTGCAGTGATATCAGCACTACAGACATATTAGTTCCTAAATAATATGCAGACTCGAAGTCATGTTTGGTGGAGTAGGCAATGTGGTTCGCATCAGGCACTGTAGTAAACACAGAAGCTTGGAAGTCATACACATCGCTATCAGGAATAGGTTACCCCCATCAAGCTATTCCTCACAAAAAGCATTTCTTTGATCCAACAACTGCAGTACACCCAAACAGCTATGAAAATTTGTGGAGTCATCTTCGAAAGTTCTTAAAACGTTTAACAGGATCACCAGAAGATATGTTATGGCCTCATAATGGTGAGTGACAGTACAGAAAATGATATAGTTTCAAATATGATAAATTAAATGAAAATCTGTATATCTTTAGTTGTTATGTGAAAAAAGAGTTATAAATTGTAAACAATTGCGTTGGCCTTCATTTACTTGGTTCTTATTGGTTAGCAAACACTTGAAAGCAATTGGTCGTCTTTCAGATTCACTTCCATCTTGTGCTTGACACATTATCCAATATATCCAACTCTATCGGTGCATGACATATCGAATAGAATTAAACAATATGGAAATATACTCACTCTACCACAGTGCTTAAATTCGACTCTTATACTGAACATGAAAGTTTTGTTTGTCCTCACTGGTGATGAACAACCATATAACAGAGTTTAGAAATTTTACTAACCGAAATGAAAGTGTCACAGACGGTCAGAAACATCTTATTGACACATAGCAACAATAACTGGAAAATTAGCGTTCAGTTAGTAAAATCCAATGTAAAAACAAATCTTTTACTGAACATCTAAAACTATAGTGTACATGTCTGTTAAGAAGATACTTGTCATAACAGTATGAGATAAGATTGTCTAGATCCTTCTAAGAACTTTCAAATCCCTGAAACCTTTTACAAACAATCATTTTGCTTCAAAGCTTCGAGAATAACCACGTAAACGAGTGTGTAAATAGCAAAATGGTTGGAGAAGTAAAATCAATAGGATATACCGTTCTAGAAAGGCCTCGAAATAGTGAAGGTCATTGTAGGTATAAATTGTTGCATCTTGTACATATATTTCGTGCTCCACAATATACCTCTGTTATCTTACCCCTTTTCCGATGCGCCAAGGAAATGAACGACCGTCATTGGATGGAATCAATACTTAAAAGTGTTTTTTTTCCTAAAGCTCACACTATTTTAAACAGTCCATTATGAAAGTGATTACTGGCAGGATAATATACATAACTCTAAACTACCGAATTGTGTGCTTCATTATCTACTACCGAAAGTGGATGTTTACAAATAGCCTAAAAGGTTGTAAATAACTTCCAAACGCTTTAGTTGTATTGATAAATATCTTTACATGACTTCTGACTATCTGGATGAGACATTCATGGCTTAGTAGACTTGTATTATTGATACTGGGTAGTGGATGATTGAGGTGATAATTAAGACCTGGAGCTCATAGTTCAGTTGATAGAGAACCGAGTCGATAATCCGAAGGTGGCTGGTTCGAGTCTTGACTGCTGTTATACACCAAGATACATTCACAAAACCAGGTCATGAAAATAATGGAAGGATACTGTGTATGACGTTCAACTAAATCAACGATTTACGCACATGATGACTGCAAGTCTTCATATGATGAAATAATTATACCTCCAAACATTTTGCATGGGTTCCTTACCTAATCCAAGATCTATAATTCTACATCACTAATGACATAGAAAGTTGTAGCTGACAAAGCGATACTGTAACTAATCGTCCTATACAGTAGACTTCGATGGGTAGGGAGGTTGAACCCCACCCCAGCTACTGACGTCTGAATGGTCAGGTAGATCCATTAGCTGTCATACATATTAAGTGAGGCTCATTGGCCACTGGATGAATGTATCAGTGGTTGTGTAAGTGATATCTCTCTGACATAACACTGCAGGCAGCATTCGACAGGCGCAGACTATAAGAATAATTGATAACAACTCCGATTATTCACGAAGGAGCACTAATTCCATGTCGCTTAATCATAAACGCCCATCAAATACCTCATTGATAATTTGCTGACCACAACATTGAATGATGCTGTTTTGAATTCTTGAATGAACACCGATTTCCTTGAGGTTTTAGAAACTCCTTGCTGATGAGTAGAAAAAAGCTCGAGATCTAGGCCAAATATGGTTGGCATCTTGTCGATTGCTTCTAATCAACCGTTGACAACTTTCTTACCTTATGACGTTTTTAACCAACTTCACAAGCAAAAACATCAGTTAACACATCGATTTACCTGATATAATTAAACCGAACTAGTCACTTCTCGTGGTTTTTTTTTTAAGAAGTGGGTTAAAAGGAAACAGGTACCAAAAGACAATCAGCTAAACGTCAGTATATCATAACCATGGAATCTTCAATATTCTTTCCACGTTCGCAGAATCTTTAGATGAACTATTCAGGAATCTGACAAAGTATATTCCGAGGGTTACAATAACAAGTGTGGATGCCTGTTAGTTTTCTTAAAAGTGAGTAACAACATATCATTGAAAAGCGATGACCGATATGTTAAAAAAACAGTCAGCTACTTGAGTTATTCAGTTTGGAGATTTGTCGGGAGTTATTGATTTCAAGCTGGTACTCATCAAAGACTGATATCAGTAGGAGAGCGATTGAAAATCTGGGAGTACTGAATAGTTGTTTCGTTTAGCATGGGACTCCTTAGCAGTCCGCACCCACCACGCCACCGAATACCGAACCCAGGAGCTACGGGTTTAGCTCCAAACACACTTACCATTCAACCACTGTGAAGTAGTTCAGTGGTCCACAGTCCCCTTCTTCTAACAATTCGTGATACGGTGTGACTATCCACGAAGGTCTTCAGTTAGTATATACTTCACTTCCAAATGGTTGACCCTGCAGGTCACGGCTTATCATTAGGTCTTTGGGATGACCATCTATAAGCATACCACTCCTAATGACCACTTTGCAGAAATGCAGTTTGAGGGTCATATAGATATTATTTATTTCAAAATATTATTCATCACGGAGTGACATCAGCTTGATGGACAGTCGTTCTATATCGTAAATTGACAGAAGTAGGAGACTGTCAGCTGTTGAACTCCATCCGATACATACATTCGCCCCTAGAGCTACAGATCCTGAGCTTCACCCCTGGACGTGAGGAGTCGTGCGTGTGTACTGTTAAGAAGACTCATACTAAGACGTAGCAGCTGTCTAGTGCTCGCACGTTTTCAATAGTTCTCCAAAAGATATCAGTCCATGACGAATGATACCTTCGAAATGAACTTCTCTGATTGTTTGTTATTACTATAAATACGATTCTACAGTTACTAAAAATGATTCGTCGAGATGAATATTTTCTTGGCTAAATCGATTTGTC